GGCACTAGGCTGCTGTGTGTATGAAATGACAACTCTCAAACACGCTTTTAATGCCAGAGATATGAATTCCCTGGTTTACAAGATTCTCAAAGGAAAGGTATGTGGCTACTAGCTACTTTTACATATTTTGTTGTATAAAGCAATGTTTTCCCATTGTAAATTCGAACAAAAAAGACATAAACAATAGATTTGCACAGTTTATTACCTGGTATACTTTACTGTATCTCGTCAGGTGCATACCACAGTAACAATTAAATAAATGAAACAGATAAGTGAATCCTTCCTTTATAACTGAGGTACAAATTCAACAACACTCAAAAGTGACTGCCTGTTTTACCAGGTCAACTGCAATGTCAGAATCATATCTTTCTCTTTACAAAGTTCAAGACGCAGGTAATGAATCATGGAGGCTTCAAGAAATCTTAGCATTCTGCCACTGGATGACGTGTGAAGAATTTGAAATGCATTGTGCTTTGTAACTGTGTTCAGACTTGAAAAGGTGGCTGGCTGTTGCAGAGGGATGGTTGAATTTGTATCTTCTTTGTTCATATTTTGTTGATGTTTGTGTCATTCGGCTCTACTTTGTTTAATTTGTGTATCAGTAATTCAGTAATTGAAACAGCAGTTTTTTCCCCAGCTTGTTTTAATATTATCAGTTCAACAAGTGCTAAATACAGCATAAAATGCGACTAGAAAGCTCAACGGGGAGAGTGGAAAACACGTGCACAAATACAACCGAACATTTTGACCAGTCTTTATCAGTGAAGTACTAAATACAACACAAACTATGGCTGGAAAACTAAACGGAAGAGGCAACAGAGTTTCTTAAAAACCAAGGTGGACATGAAACCAAGACAAACATAATGGAGGAAAAACTATGAATATCAAGGGCTATATTACAATACAAAATAAGTGAGAAAGTGTATGAAAATGAAGGGGAGAAATAGGAACAAGTTAAATAATTAAAATTAAATAAAGCTGTGTTAAAAATTGATCCCTCCATGTTGAGGTTGCTTAAACTGTGAAGGAGTAGGGCTAGTGTGATCACTGGAGAAATAGTGAATGGCTGTAACTGTGATATCACTTTTGCCTTGGTGGTCGGAGCCGTTGAAGTATAGGGAGACAGGTTTTACATCTAGTTCGGGTGCATTTGGGAGTACACATTAGAAGTAGTTCACATACTTTATAGATCATTTTGCTAATTTTCCTTATGCAGGAAGCCACTTCTATGACACTTCCTGTGATCATCCAACCAATACTTGGGCTGGTGATTTCTTTGCCACAAATTTCCGAAACAGTTCTGAAAATTAGCTGGTATCCATTTACACAAGATAAATGTAATTTAAAATGTATGCTGCTATGTCTAGAAATATTGATTCTTGTTTTGTTCATGTTTATCTTGTATGATGTACCACAGATGCCACCAATGCCTAGCCACTATAGTTCAGAGTTGTTAGTTCTCATGCGGAGTATGTTACTTCAAGATCCAGAGAAGCGCCCAAGTGTCAACCGGATTCTCCGTGACCCGTATATTAAGAGAAATATAGCAATATTCTTAGAGGATACAAAAAGAAGGTGATGTATGTTATAAGATATTTAGAAAAGATTTTTTTTTTGTGTATGTAGTTTTTTTTTTTGGGGGGGGGGGGGGGAAAGGGGGGAGGTGGTTAAGGTCAACTGCTGTTATTATATGTGAAAATAATGGTTCAACAGTTATTTACCTAAATATTCTGTCTTTTCTGTTAATTCTTTTTTTATATTCTTTAGCTGCCTTGAACTTTTTACCCTGGGAAACGCTTGAAAAAAAAAGGACAGGAGCCTGTGTTATTTAAACTCCCCCCCCCCCCCCCCCCCCCCCCCCCCCCTCCCCCCCCCCCCCCCCCCCCCCCCCCCCCCCCCCCCCCGCCCCAAAAAATCCTTTTAAAACAACAATTTACCACACATGACCAATAGATTAAAAACACCATTTATCTATTTATATATATTTTTTTTATAAATATATTTCGGAAGTTATCAATACACATGTATAAAGTAAAGTAGTACATGTAGTACATTCTTTATGGCTTTAAGTAAATGTATTGGGTGACTCATACTATGACCTTGTGACCTTGTCAGAATTCTAATGCTAAGTCTACAGGCCAATTATGACATCAAAAGGACTCTTGTTCTCAATGAATATCACCCTCTGTCAGGGATAGACCATAGCATAAAAGTAGGGTTAGTAGCATTTAGAGGAATGAGTCACAAACAGAAATGCTGGATTCGCAGCTTCTTGGAACGACAAGGTTAAATATTTCTTTATCTTATCTCTTTATGGGTGAATATCAGAGTCGTGATTTAGGGGCTGTTGTGTTCGCCTCAGGCTTAGGAGGTACTTGGTTCAAATCCCAGCATAGGGTTTGTTATTTTTACACAAAACATTGGTTTCTAGTAATTTCTAGTGATATCACACACACTGGTCTGGTCTTTTTAGTTGTGCCTTCTCAGATACATGTGACCAGCAGAAGGCACTGTGTGCATGTTAAAATTTGACAGCATCTGAAAGTTTCAGACAGTGGTCAACTTGACCATTATCTAAATGATCGCGTGTTGTCTATGTGGCCATATTTCATGCTTTGATAACTCTCACAATCAGTGATAAACATTTGAATAAAAGCCACAGTGCTTTATTAATATCCTACCCCAGACAGAGAAAATTCACAGGACACAGGACAGTCTAATGTTTCAGGGGGTGGTAGATAGGCTGCATGCAGTCATAAGACCTAGGCTGCATGCAGTCTTGGGACCTAGGCTGCACTCTCTCGTGGGATGTAGGTGGGTTGGGGTTAGTGCCAGTTCTAGATATTTTGGGGTCGTTAAAAGCATCAAAAGCAGTGTTGCCACTTTGGATGTTTTACATCCAGATTTAGATGTTTTCCCTTGCATTTAGATGGCGTTTTTGACATTTAGATGGTAGATGTTTTTCTAGATGTTTTTCATTTGGAGTGAATTTATCAAATCTAACCTAAGAATCAGGATAAAATTTAACCTCTTAAATGCTGTCTTGACAATAAAATCGGCCTGATAAGAGTAGGAAAAGGCTGTTCCACTTATCAGCTACCTGATTGGGTATTAAAAGAAATTGGAACAGTTAAAGCATACCAGAGTCATTTTGGATCTGAAGCTTCAACTTTATCATCTAAGTTAAGTTTATCCTGTGGATCTTGTAAGGCAGACTTCAGTAAAGATGAAGGCATGATTCTATAGGGTAAGTCATATCAACTGCTATGTAATTTGTGACTCTTTCCATTTGGATGTTTTTTCTAGATTTTTGCCCCACGCAAATTTAGATATTTTAAGATATTTTTTTACTCCGTTTTGGGTGTTTTTTGTCAAAGAAAAGTGGCAACACTGATCAAAAGCCAGGAAACCCAGTCTTACCACCCTCTAAAATGTTGGACTGTCCTGTGACGTCATCTGGGGTAGGATATTAATAAAGAACCAAAGCCACATATATGACTCGAGGTGGCATGCTGTGGTATAACTTTTATTGAGCTTATAAATTAACATCAGGCCTGATTCAGTAGAGTATATTTTCACTCTTACTGTGTTATTACTGAGGTGACAGTGATAGGCTATACATCTAGTATGGCTAATGGTTCTATTGTGCCAGATATTTTCAGTTATAATCAGCATTCCCCCACAATACTAATAAATGACCTGAGGTGGTGTGCTGGTGAAGAATTTCATCAAGCTAATAGATTAGCAACATAATTAGGTGCGGCAAGCAGTTGTTGTCTGATATACAAGCGTAGATTGTGAACCTTGCTGTGTCATCCTTACTGAGGTGTGACAGGCACACACATATTATGACTATTCTGACATTTAGTTTCAGTTTGAGGTTTGAACAACGATTAAGATCATGGCACACGGGTAGTAACCCATAAGTGCTCCGTTCTTCTTCTAACTCAAGTCTGAGTCTGAAGAAGCTCAGCACAGTGCACAGGCTCTGTAGCATTGGCGAGGATCCTGAAATACTTTGGGTAGAATTTTCACTCCGAATTTTCCCCGGGCAGCGCCGTTAGGCTACTCATTTCGATTTTCAACTGCCAAGGGATTTTTTTACGTGCGCAACAACTCACACAGGTATCTGATCTCACTACCCAGAGACCAGGGGGAATTACTAGAAGTCCAAGTCCACGTGAAAAATTCCAAGCCTTACGGGGAATTGAACCTGGAACCTCTAGCACTCAGTGTGGACACCATGTCTCGAGACCATGCATTCCATCCCTGCATTTCTCTGCAATACTAATACAACCTGGACATTCCAACAAAAGGTGTGGATAAACAGGATGTGATACAGACAGTATATTAACATTCTTTTATCCATCCACTATGCAAGCTGGAAAGCTTCAAACAGCATGTTTCATGTTGAAATTATAGACTGGAAGTCATTGTCCTGGCTAAATTGTGATGAGCAAACCTGTCTGTTGTTAGATGGGACTATCTTGTGTGGAAAGTACCTAGAAGATGTAAACCTTACACAATATCAGGCACAGTGGCCTTAGAAGTACATAACTAGAAATAAAATGATGAAAAAGAATGGTTATTAGCAGGTATGGGCAGTTATGGCCCTCCACAGCTCCTATTCTGTGGCACTATGTATAAATTAAAGTGCTGATATTTTATAACATCAGGATGCAAAGCTGTCTATGATCTTCTCTCATGGCCTTTTCTCTGTCTCATATTAACTTAATTCTTCCTGTTGTTCTTATATATTTCAGTTGTTCCCCTCCTCCTAGTGCATCCAACAATATTGTCTATTCTTACAGATGTTTATGATAAGATACCATTTGTGTCTTTGCCTCATTAAAAAAAAAAATTTTTTTAGCCCTCTGTGTAGATGAATCTGTTTCATAATCCACTTTTCCCTAGCTTATAATGTCAATAAATGTTCGTATTGCATAATTCTTGTATTATTACACATAATCATAATTCAGTGTTCTCTATAAATGTTGCAGTTGTCGTCAACCCAGCCAGTCCTCCAGCAGTCAGGCAGCATCATTGTCCAGACCCTCATCAGCTCGCAACTGTCACAGGGACTCTGCTCCATCATTATCAGAAGTCAGTTCTGTCAAACAGGCATCCAGCATTTCAAGTTCAGACCAACACAAGCCAAAGGTGTGAACACTAACGTGCATCTGTTTTATGACCTCCTTTCTTTTCTTTCTTTCTTTCTTTCTTTCTTTCTTTCTTTCTTTCTTTCTTTCTTTCTTTCTTTCTTTCTTTCTTTCTTTCTTTCTTTCTTTCTTTCTTTCTTTCTTTCTTTCTTTCTTTCTTTCTTTCTTTTGTTCTTATTCTGCTTTGTGCAGCTAGGCACCACAGGCTAGCATTTGATCAGTATCTGAGTTTGAGCATGCTCCTCAGTTACCCAGTATACTGTAATGTTGTGGAGTCTCAAGATTTCAGTGACTTCTTCAGTCTATTTTTTCTTGCTCACCCCTTAATACCTCTTGGTGTTTTCACATTTCATATTGTATGCTCTGGTTGCTGACATCATTAAATTCATTCTCTGTAAATGGCAAAACCATTTAAATCTTTTGTTTGTTCAGTGAATTTAATTATAGGTGTTGTTCCAAAAATTGTAATTTCTTCATTTCTTACATGATCTTAGTTTTGTTCACAGCCTTACTCAAACATCTCATTGTGCAGGTGCTCAGTTTTCTGTCATATTCTTTAGTCAGTGTCCAAGTCTGACACTGATAGCACAAGGCATGCTTAAAATATTGTTTAGAATCTTTGGCTAGTGCACTTTTTTGTTGATCAATAGTCCTAGGCTTAAATCCCTCCTGGATACATGGTTCCTGAATATATCAAGCCTTATTAAATGTGTGCAAAAGATTCCCAGGCAGGTGAGGTGGCTATGTGATATTGACTACATTAAGGGCTGATTTGTCAAGAGTGCATCGTCTTAGAAGCTATCCAGTGAATGCTACAGTTATGTGGCAATGGAACATTTTACTTTCATCTTTACTGTTGTTATTAAAATGATGATGTATAATGCCTGTAGTAGATATCTCTTGACAGTTCTTTGCCTTTCTGACAGAAGTACAATGCCTCCTCAAGTTAAGATGTTTTGTAGTTGGTGGTGGAATTAGTCTGTGTCATGCTGTGGCCACTGGGGCAGCAGGTGTCTTATTCCTGTTCTTGGGAGCAGCGAATGCAGCTGGCATCATACTGAGGGGGGGGGGGGGGGGGGTTCGCCATTACTTTACCAAGGGTCATTTAGGTATTCATAACAGCAATCGCAGGTTGTATACAGTTATCAGCTTAAAAATTAGTCTGCTGTATCAAGGCCATCTCAATCTGGCGGGCCATGCTGCTGACATCACCAAGCCAGGCTAACAGTACGTTACCTGTCAGATGGAGACGGTCTTTGCTGTATTTTGTCAAGCATTTCATTGCAGTTGCCTTGGTGGGACCAGGCCAAGTGGTTACGAGCGTAGGTTTTTCCATAGGCTTTTCTATTCTATTTATTTGTAATGTGTATCCATTGTTTAGTTAACAGGATCAGTATTAAGCCATGCACCAATAAATAACCTTTCTATTTTAGCACAGCAAAGGATGAGATGGCTAAATGAACCATTTATCAAAACATTGTGACACACAAACCAATTTGTCTAAAATAAAAATTAATTCCTGTACTGTGTTAATAATGTTGCATTGTATGTTCAGATTTTGGTACAGGCTAGTAAACTGGTAAACACAAGCTTGTTAAAGCAATGTTTCCCCATTGTAAATTTGAAATTTCAAGACATAATCATGACAATGCGATTGCCCAGGTAAAACAGGCAGTTGCTTGTGAGAGTGCTTAAATTTATACTTCAGTTATAGAGGATTCTCTTTTTTCATCATTTATTTCATTGTTACTGTAGAATGCACCTGAGATGCAGCAAAATATGCCAGGCAATAAATTGTGCAATCTATTTTTGTGTGTCTTCTTTGTTCAGACATATGCTTTTATTTATGATGATTCTGCCAATTCAGATTCAGTCTCCAAAGAAAGAGGGCATATCACGCAAGAAGAATTTTTTGCGGAACCATGTGAAGAGTAGAAACATTGAGCAGAGTGAAATGGAAAGTTCGCCACCGAAAGAAAGAAGTGACAAGGATTATAAAAGACCATCTCCTGATCGGGAAAAGAACCACGAACAGGATGTTCCATTTCCTCAAGTAAGACTTGGGTTTCTAAATGTATCTGAAATCAGAAAAAAAAACATTTATGTTTTATATGTTCCATGAAACATATTCTTGCTGGAATGTAATCTTGTGGCACATTGTTCTCTTTCGGGGTGTCTGTCAGAATTTTTCCGACCTCAGAATTGTATCTCTAGTCCGAGCAGTTGCCACACAGTGTATACTCTAAGGTACTGATTTTCGTTTTCTTTTTTAAAAATAGATCTTTTTCTTTTGTCCTACTGCTAATGCCACAGAGCTTCACAGAGAGTAGCTGCGGTAGTTTCCTGTCTGTTGCTAGTTGTGTAGCTTGTATTTATGTCATTTTTGCATGAGTAAATCTTTTATTCCCTCCACTCATATCTTTCTTGGTCAGCCTCTAGCCTTATAGCCTGTTATTCTCATGTAGTTTGCTTGAGCTTCTGGCTGATTTTGAACAGATGACCAAACCATTTGATTATTTGATGTTCTGTGAAATCATTTACAGTTAGTGTGCCTACCATTTCTAATGTTTTACTTTACAGAATTTGCTTGAGATAATATATTGGAATTGCACACTTTTAGACAGGAAACTTATAGATTTATAATATATCATGTAAACTATTTCATTTTTATGGGAAGCACAGTTGTTGCAATATAAATATGGTAATTTAAAAAAAATGAATGCAAGATTAAAACGTTATTTGCATATACCATATTTATGGGTGTATCAAGTTTCTGACACTATAATTTTAGGAAAATATAATTTTCATAGAATTTCATGGAGAGATCAAAACTGAAACACTAGTGTATGTAAGCAGTGAAAGATGGAAATTCCTCAAAAAAAGCTGGGCAGGATGCATTATGGCATGAAATGATCTTGTGATTCTGCATCAGATAACAATGATGCAGCGACTCTCCGACACTTCCAGGACAAACTGCATTTTAAAGACATGTTCTGAAGTTACAGAAGAAACATAACTACAAGATGGGAGCAGTTGGAAATGTTGATGAAACTTCTGTATTCTTCCATATGCCAGGTGAAACAACAGCGAACAAAACTGATGAAATCAAATGGTTGTATTATTATGGAAGCATTTCAGTTCATAGAATGACTTAATACTTTAAAGCTAGAAATTATTTTCATTGACATTATTTTTGTTGACATTTGATATTGATATAATTATTTGTAGAATCATAACAACAGTAGCAAGCCAGAGCAGGCTGAAGTGGTATCCAAGGTTGAACACTTGAATGGAGGGGACCTGGTTGTTGAAAAACCTGTAATAAAGCCAGATCTGGGTAGCAACCAAATTTTACCAGATATGCAGGTAAGATTTGACTTTGATAATTGTTTTATTGTCTATTTATATAAGGTTTGATAAATGAAACTTGTTCCAGTGACTTCATTACAAACATAATGAAAGTATATTAGTATACCTGGCAGAGTTAAATAAAGCAAATGTTAGGAAGCAAGCATGCACCTGAGGTCATCAGAAGAAATTGCTTTAGGCATTCAGACATGCATTGTGCTGCTTAGAGAGATGGTGTCATGAGTTCTTCATGGATAGTTGCTATTGTGATGAGCATGAGCTTTAATTAATCTCAACACCTCACCTCCGCAAGAGAAACCGGACTAGTGTCTGAGTCAGTCTGATACCAAACACAGTCCTGGATATCCAGGAAAACAGCCGCATGTGGCTAATAATATAAATTAACAGTAGCTGCATTTTCTTTTTATTCACAGAAGAAGGAAAGGGATTTTATACGTCTAAATTACTTTAATTTGTGAATCGTTAAACAGGGCAGATGACTCTTTCCGACAACCTTCCCTTGGTAAAGAATGAAAAGATAAGCACGCACCAAATATAATCTATTTAACAGTTAAGTAAAACATGTAGGAACAAATACACTTGGAATGTAACAAACGATGTAGTATAAACCTTGATTATTGATTTATTATATAAGCAATTGTTTGAATGACATTTGTCATTTTAAAGTTGTTGAGCAAACAGTGAATGGCTGATAGTGTGGTGGTAATGAAATGCTTAATCTAGGGCACTGAGCATCTGAGTGATGTTCTTATGATGATGATAAGTTCAACAAACAAAAATGTTGAACATAACTTTAGGTTCAAGAAAGTAAAATCTCTGACAGTCCTTAATTTGAGGCTCTGCCTATCCTTTCCCAACCTGCCGAACTTGTTACACAGTGTAAGTTAGTACACTGGACCATCTGCTTATGACAGATGCTGATTGGTTCCTACTCATGAGGGGAACTGTGATATATAAAAGAAACAAGCACATTTGTGTAGTGTCTAGATTACACACAGCAAGCACATTTTAATAAAAGCATATTTCATCTTTCCTTCTCATATTCACGTGTGGATTCTGGGGCCCTGTTATGGGGAATACAAGAATAGACACACTGCCTACCCAAAAGCATGTCGTAAGAGTTAGAGTTTACTAATTGGGAGCTTCCTTCAAAGTCAGAGTGCATTTGCCTGAGAGGCAAGGAACCAGCAGTCTGCATACAAATGAGTCAGATCTGTAAAACGGATGAACACGCAACACTCAGGTTCTGGAACAGGATTTCAGTCCAGAAGTGGATGAACAACCAGGACTTTAGACCAGAGTTTACAGCTGGTGAATGCGAAGAAGAAGAAGAAGATATTCACATTCTCTCCAGTCTAGTCTGAAAGTCTTTTGTCTGACAATGCCATCCTACATATCCTGCCTTCCCCATCATGCCCTGTCTTGATAGTTGAAGTCCTAAGTCTTTTGTTTGTCTTTACTCAAAAACTGGCTGGCATGTTTTGGCATGTGGTAACAGATGTTATGTGCTGAAAACACACAATTCTATATGTGCATGCTGTCCTGAATATTATATTTCCAGTGATAATCAAATACTCTCATAATTTTCACTTGGGTTGTCAATTCCGTATGTAGGTGAACACATTTCATTGAATACATGGTTTGCTGTCAAAACCCTCACCAATAACTCCACATGTGAGCATACTATTCCCCACAATCAATGCACATGGTTTTGTTGATGTTTGAAACTGTATAATTTCATTACATTATAAGTATTTGTATTCAAGTCTTATTTTATAAACATGAAAACATACACTAAAAGCATGTAATACAAACATTGAAGAAATAGAAGTGGTATATCAGCTCCCTAACAGAGATAGCAGAACACTCACGAAGAACTATTTCAAACAGAATGTGTATTTAGATAATTCAGGAAAGGTAGAATAAATAGCTAGACTCCTAACAGATAAACAATAGAGTGAAAATAATATTCACATTACCTAAGAAAACCCAACAATGGCCAAATAAGGCACACAGCTGGGATAACTTTCTACTGTGGGTCATTTGGCAAGCTGGAAGCAGTTAGAACTGAATTCAGGACACCTCACTTTATTTAATCTTTCCTCTCATCTCAGCAGAGTTTAGCTCCCCTTTCCTGTACCTAACTCTTTTCTTCAGGAGAGATTTTAAACCCCACCCCTGAGGTACCTTCAAACTACAATTATCTTTCTTTATAGCTGTCAATCAATTACTGACTGCTCCCTCTGATCAAATTTTCTGAAGTGGACCCATCTGGTTTTCCCAGGGTCAATAAAAAGTGTGAAAAACCAACCAGGTGTATCCAACTGGACCCGCAATGTTTAGAGTTTCCTCCTTGCCAAGGTTAGTTCCCCTGAGTTGGCATGTTCAGAAGGGCAAAGCTTGCCTGCTAAAGTAATGTTTCTGACACCTGTTTCCTTAGGAGGACTGACTGGTAATATTATGAAATCTTAGGCCAGGACTAGTTTCCTTGTCTGGTCTGAGAAATGGGGAAAACATTTTAGTCCCACATGGTTTTTATATTTGACAGTGAATAGTAAATATTAAACCAAAAAATGTTATTGAGCACAATACATTCTGAAATCACAAAGGTGGTTTCATCACAGAATGCCCTGCAAGAGCAGGAAAAAAGAAGAGGAGGAGGTGGGGGGGGGGGGGGGGGGGAGTAAAACTTATGTTTTCTTTATTCACTGATGGCAGAAACACAGTTCTGATGCTACACAGTGTACATTTTAGCATATATAGCATTTAAAGTTACTGTGGATACATATGATCTAAAGGCATTGTTTTTCCAAAAATCAGATTCCCTCTCTCAGGCAGAGAGGCATAGAAGTTAACAGTTTTAAGAATCATGTCAAAAGTACCAGCTTACAGCAACAAGAAATGAAAGCACAAAGCAAAGAATTTAAAGAATATAGACATGACTCTGAACCATTACATCCAGTAATCATCAGCGAGGAGTTTGCTTCCTTACCACAGGTAAGCTCTGTGATTTGACAAGACATGGTAACAAATTTGTTTATGAACGAATGAATCTTCTTATTCATGTTCATTATCGGTAAACTGTGGCAGAAAGTTTTGGTTGTTCGTTCAATTTAGAACTTTAGTCTTGTTTCAGAAACTGAAGTTTGCATGTGACTTTTTGTTTAATGCAGATGGTTGGTTCCTCACCTCTCAAGCAGATTAACTCCAACTTTTAGGGAAATTTGTGAATTAAGAAGTGACATCACTGCACTTTGAACATTCCCAGATATGCTCCGTCCCCTTCCTCTGTTGCCTTTGAAATACTGATACTGCATGCTGATAGTGACAGGCAGTGTGCAAACCTCTGTTGGCTCATGGATCTGCTAGCTAGCGACCATAAGGTGTAAATTGTTTTTTCTGGCTTCCAGTCTCAAGTGGAGGATTAGGCATGGCAAAATGTTAAGCTTCAAAGTTATTTCTGCTTCCGACAGCACATTACAAATGCAGTTTTCTCAAATGAACCATAGTCTGCGGTTTTGCTGCCTGAGCTACTGAGTTTAGTCCTTGGTGCAGCCTGGTCAACATTTTAGGTTGGGTCGATCTGCAACGCCCCATACCATGATAAAAAAATCAGGCAGATGGGACAGTGAGAGACATTTCATTTGATTTGCACTGGCACAGGAACAGAGCAAGTATGGGGAAACCCGCCTGCAGTGAAATTGAAACCTCGACTAAGACTAATGTCGACAGTTGCATCTAATTACAAGTTTGCCTGTTTTGATTTCCCTGCAGGTAAAAAATCGTTCATACCTTCTGCTCAATCTCAGCTACCTCAGTCTCTCCAGGAGTAGATGCTCTGTTTGCTCTTTTGCACTGTTTACAAATGTATTATTCAAAGAAGCATGGTAGACAATTTCGTGAATGAATTTGCTTGTTACTTCAATAGATAGCAGCTGTCTCACATGTGTTCACTGTCATTACATTGTATGCCCAGCAATAGTACATAATCCTTTCCCAGCTTATTTGCATGTTTCTACAATGTTCCGTCATCTTTATCTGTTAATGAAATGTATTATAGTTTTTTTTTAAATATATTTTATGTTAAAGTAAAAGTGAAGAAGAAGCCTTGTTCAAGAAATACACTTGCTCTAATGGAATATTGAATGTATAATAAAACATTGCAGAGTTATAGAGCAACACAAGGACTGGCTCTTGGAAGACACATGGACCCTTTTCTACACCTTTAGGCATATAGGGCATATAGTGGTAGACCGATATTTTCAGACCAGTGTGCACTCAATGGGTTATGTGATTAACATCATGCCGGCTGCTTTTACTTCCCAGGACTTTACTCTTTACCCATTTAAGACTGGGCCAACCTGGTAGCCAAAGTCATTTAAAAAAAAAAACAGGTTCTGTTTTCATATTTGAACCCACAACCCTCAGATCCACAGGTGAGCATCTATCCACTAAAACATAGCGGTCCCATATGTACGTAATAAAACACTTCACAATTTTTAAGCAAAACAAGGAGTGGTTCTTGGAATACACATGGGTCCTCATGTTTTTTTAGTTTAAATACACTAGTTAGTCCATAAAAATATATACAGAATATATTTCACAGAATCCTCATCATCCTGTTATGACATGATATATCATAAAGGGCTGGTCTATTCCTTCATTCTGTTAATTCCTGTGCAGTCTTTTCATTATTATAGATGGAGTCAAGTCTGGCACCTTTGGCCTCTCTTATCAGCTTTCATTTTATTGTTACTGTTGGACACCCTCATTTTCTCAGTATATTTGTTTTTCATCCCAGTGCCTGTTTTGTAATTCTCTGCTTTATATTATAACTGTTGGTACCCGTATTTACAGAATATTAATTGTTTTAATAAAAGAGAAAAGTGTCAGACACAATAAAGGAAATCATATTTAGAGAAAGCCAAAACTGAGTGACCTGGAAATTGTTTTCTTTGTTATAGAATAACTCCTCATGTGAATTATAGGGCTCCAATTTGAGGACCTACTGATATTTGCTGAAATCAGATGTCTTGGGCCAAAAGGTACAGATATTGCAGCTTTGCTGTAAACCACAGCACAACATGCCAACTGCCTTCTTTTGTTGTTGTTAAGGCTAAACGCAGAAGAAGAAGAAGTAATATGTTATAAAGAAACAAAAAAGCCAAACTTCAGTGTTAGTATTTTAATGCTTTTTACCTATCAAAGAATGTTCCCACTATGTTGGATATAGAGCTTTAACAATCAGAACCTACTGTAGCCTTTGTCTTTCTACAGATTTAGCTATCTGGACTTGATAGATACTTCATAATTGAGTGAAACACTCCCTCTGTGGGTTACATTGGCGACTAGGTCACCCAATGGCTCGCCGGTAGATAACTTTGTCGGGACAGTATTTTGGTCTGTCTCCTTTGATTGCATCAGCACTGTAGGAGACCTTTTCAGGGCTCTTGGTGGTGTGCAATGCTAAGCCATTGTATCTGGCGTGCATAACCTAGTCACAGTTATAACCTAAATCTTCCTTTGTGAGTTCCAGGGCCCCATTTATTTTGTGAAGGTGATGGTGGAGGGGGGGGGGGGTAGTGGTGGAGGGGTGTGGTGGTGGTAGTAGATCCACTGCCTGTTTAATAAGCATGCTGTAAAAGGTAACTAGTTAGGAGTGTTTCCTTTGAAGTCAGAGTGCATCTGCCTGAGAGGCAACAAACCAGTAGTCTGCATTCATATAATCCAGATCTGTAAAACAGATGTGCATGCAGTCCTCAAGTTATGAAAGAAGACTAAACTTCTGAAGTGGACAAACAACCAGAAATCTCTGTCTGAGTTTACAGTCAGTAAACACAAAAGAGAAGACTACTTAAGTCTCTGTCTTTCTACAGACTTGATTATCTGGACTTGGTAGATAATATTATAGTCGAGAGAAACCATTGTCAGCTTTATTAGTGACTCAGAAAACTACTTTAGTCTCTGTCTTTCTACAGACTTGATTATCTTGACTTGGTAGATAATATTATAGTCGAGAGAAACCATTGTCAGCTTTATTAGTGACTCAGAAAACTACTTTAGTCTCTGTCTTTCTACAGACTTGATTATCTTGACTTGGTGGATAATATTATAGTCGAGAGAAACCATTGTCAGCTTTATTAGTGACTCATTTTCCCTGTAAAAATTGTCTTTGAAGAGTGAAAACAAAACACGGCCTCTTCCAGTACCGAGAGTCAAAGCCAGTGCAAGCCCTCCCCAGCAGAGACGAGACAGACTTGGGTCAGCCGACTTCTCTACCAGCTTGAGTGTGTCTAGTTCAACAGAGGACAGAGAGACTCCCAGAGTAAGTTTGCAGTGCACAGTTTCAGTTTTGATGGATGTTTCTGAGATCATAGTAAAAGTAATAAAAATATTTTTAAAAAAGTATAGGGCCCATTTCCAAGCTTTCAGGCATATTAGGCGTATAGTGCTAGGCCTGTATTTAGAGACCAGTCGGCTCGCTATGGATGATGTGGTAACATCTCGCTAGTCAGTCACCTTCACTTTCCAGGACTTTAACTTCTACCCACTCAAGGCTGGCTCAACCTAGAAGCTTAGGTCATTTTTGAAAACAGTCTTAACTTCATTTGGATTGGAACCCATGACCATCTGATCTTAAGGCAAGCATCTAGCCACTGCAGCATCGCAGCTGCCTGTGATCATAGTGGTTAGTGCATTCTCTGTATGACACACAAGTCTAGGGTTAAAGTTCCGGTTGTGGTGAACGAGCCTCTTAGAATGAGAACCACAGATTCACATGTGAACAACCCTGATGACATGACCCTGATGACATTACCCTCAACCCTGATGACATTACCCTCAACCCTGATGACATAACCCTCAACCCTGATGACATTACCCTCAACCCTGATGACATTACCCTCAACCCTGATGACATTACCCTCAACCCTGATGACATTACCCTCAACCCTGATGACATTACCCTCAACCCTGATTACATGACCCTGATGACATTACCCTCAACCCTGATGACATTACCCTCAACCCTGATGACATTACCCTCAACCCTGATGACATTACCCTCAACCCTGATGACATAACCCTAAACCCTGATGTCATTACCCTGAACCCTGATGACATTACCCTCAACCCTGATGACATTACCCTCAACCCTGATGACATTACCCTCAACCCTGATGACATTACCCTTAACCCTGATGACATTACCCTCAACCCTGATGACATTACCCTCAACCCTGATGACATAACCCTCAACCCTGATGACATTACCCTCAACCCTGATGACATTACCCTCAACCCTGATGACATTACCCTCAACCCCGATGACATTACCCTCAACCCTTTGTACATCATTCACTTGCTGGGCTTGGGAACCTAAATGTATATCCCATTGTCTTTGTAAGTTTTAACTCAAATCTTCAACAAGTCTTCCTGGCATCAAAGTGGTTTTAGTGAACTAGTGTATGTTGTTGGTGTGAAACAGTGACATGTATTTCAAATTATTTTCACTTATTCAATCTTTCATAGCTGGAGTAAACCAGGTACACTGCCACTAATAAGGCAAGGGTTGGAGTCAAGCAGGATTTCTTAAATGAAGCATGTTTCGAGACAGAATAGCCTCTGTGTAACATCTTTATAACTCAATAGCTTTAAACTGAAAAAAGAAAAAAAAAATATGGCAGAGCGTGGAAGGAAACATTCTACTGTCTGAAGGACTGTAGAATATGAGATCTAATTTTAACCCATTCAGTCCCGAGCAACTCACTATGTGTTTGTTGATTATAAACCTATTATATACTATTCTTAACTTTCTGTCCCCATCCAGTAATTACGTTAACTTTGTCTACTTCGGTGGTTGCTTTATATCCTTCTTTCTCATGGCGTTTTTATTTTAACTGCTTTCGATTAAAAAATACTGATTATTTAAAATAATAAATTTTTATTGTTACATTTTAATAATACATTTTGTGATTAAGTAGCATCCAACTTGAGACTCAAAGAGTTCAGAGACGGGAGTGTGGGTGGAGCACGGCCTGTTAATGTGAGTGTAGAGTACACCATAAAATAAGAGAAGAGAGTGTGTGCTAGCACAGTCTAATTTATTTTTTTGAGCACACATAAAATCTCTTATTTTGTTAATTGTTTACTTTCAGAGTCTGCCAAATTTGTCTGCCAGACAAAGAAGAAGACAGCAGATGAATGAGTTTGCTGAATGTAAGTCACAGTCTGCTGTGTTGAGTATTGCAGACCCAGAAGGGCATTAGTAACACAAAGAAATTACATTTTCACTTAAATCTTTCAGTCCCAGTCATGTATCACTTTAACTCCTTTACTCTTTAAGTGTTCATAAGTCTAGGTTTCGATATCACTGCAGACGGGTCACCTCATACTGCCCTGAGTCTGTGCCAATGGTACTCACACCAAATTTCCTGCTGTTTCATTTGAAATCTAGCGAAAAACTCGTCAATCCCAGCAGAATCTTGAAGCTTGGGCGCGTGCGCGCGCACACACACACACACACATAGAGAGAGAGAGAGAGAGAGACACTGTTTTACACCTGAATTGTAGCTAATTGTTAGACAGTCAGTCAGTCATGAAAGCTGGCACTGCACCCAGAAAAGTACATGCCATTCTGAGCATAGTCGGCCACACACCATTTTAGTATAGTCAGCGACACGCCACAGGCCCACACACAAACATTAATCATGAAATCCACAGCTCATGGTGTCACACCAAGCACTCCCCTCAGTAGCTTAGCGATTGAACCTTTGAACTCCTTGTCCAGAAATGGGGAATTTGCCTAAATAACCTCCAAAAGAGAAAAGTACAATGCAGTCAACTACCAACTGGCCCCACTTCTTCGTCATACAAAGATCTTGTTACCAGCCAAACAACGGATGATCAACAGCATTTTCATCCCTACGTTATGTTATCAGTGCCAAACGTGGACAATAAACAAATCACATATGCAAAAAATAACTAGGTGTGAAATGCGATGTCTCCGAAGAGTCACCAACAATACACGAAGAGACAGAGTCACAAACGTCAGCATTAGAGACAAAGTTGGAACAAGAGCATGCATTAAACATATTGAAGGACAAAGAATGAAGTGGTTTGGCCATTTAGTAAGAATGCAACCGGATCAGATTGCCTATAAGGCCTTTTACGGTAGAACATCGGGAAGAAAGGCCAGAGGAAGACCCCAAAAAAAATGGATAGATGGAGTAGCTGAATACGGCCAGAAGATCCAGAAAACTGTCACTCAAATCACGCGAGAGGCACAAAACAAATATTTTAAACCACGACACTTGGCTGCAACCCGGTAAAAGTGAAGAAGACAATAGATAGATAGATAGACAGACAGACAGACAGACAGACAGACAGACAGATAGATAGATAGATAGATAGATAGATAGATAGAGAAAAGTAGCATGCAAATTGAATTAAAAACTTTAGAGAAGAATGGGTTCAAACATATACCAGAACATCAAAGAAGGGAGGCAAATGTAACAGGTTTACACTGTCTGCCCAGATAAAATTAATGAATTTCCAGTACTCAGCCTGGAAAATTATGTTCAGTTTACAGGCCATAAAATGTAGAATTGATAAATAACAAAGATTTTGCCAGGAGGTTGTATTTCTGGCTGGATCGGTGTCAGTTTTGCAAACAATGAGCACAGTATGTTAGTGTTGAGTGCTTGCAGAACTGACATTGATATACAATAAGAGCTAAAAGGAACCTTGGGTGAAGTAAACACCAGTAATTTGACACTGTTACAAATTTTTATTTTTTTAAAGAGAAAAGTATTTTGTCCGTAATTTTTCTCCCTTTTCCTATTTATTTGTTTATGTTTTATTTTGCCACAACATTTCATATTTCAATTCTTAGCATTTCCGTTCAATTTATTTCTCTATGTGACTCTCTTGTCTTTGATTTTGGCTTAGGATTATTGTTGTTTTATTTGTTGATAAAAATTTGGTTGAAATATTTGGTTATATTTGTAAACATCTTTTCCACCCCTCCTCTTTCGCCTTACTAGTTCATGGTAATTTGTTTCTTGGTGACTAGTCAGTTGCAGTCGGCTTTATTTTAATATATGTGGACAACAGAGGAAAACTATGTACATCATCTTCTTTTGTCGTCTCACTAATACCAGGTTATAGCCCATTGTCGCTTCTCAGATGGCCTTAGTGATGGATTTGTTCATCTTTTTTGCAGGTTGCGTTACACTTCTGCTGTAAAAAAGTATTATATGCAGTTCGGCCTGGCTGCATTGCATTCTCACAAGATGGCTGAACCATTTCCTTCTTTGTCTGTCAGTATAATCCAGTCTTATTCCAACTTTCTCTCTAATGCTGGTATTTGTAACCCTGTCTGTTGTTGTATTGCTAGTGACCTTGCGGAGACAGTGCATTTCACAACCATGTAAATCAAGTGTACAGATTTCATGACTGGAGTAGACACAATATGACCATCATCAGCCAGTCTGAAAAGATTTCTTCTATTTCTTCTTCACGTTCACTGTAAACTCCAGTGGAAAGTTCTGGTTGTTTGTCCACTTCTGGACTGCAGTCCTGTTTCAGCACCTGAGTGTTGCCTGTGCATCCATTTGACAGATCTGACTCATCATGAAAAGATAGCCTGTGACTTCGGACTTCTTCTTCCGCTGCGTTCGACCTCAGTCATGCTAAACATCAGTCCTATCTGGGTCACAAACATGTTGGCACAAGGTCGCTACCGCTTGTAATATAGCTCCATTTGGCCAAAATCTCTACCCTTTAGAAGTAAGGACAGGCCTACAGTACATGCTCAGGAGGCTTTTTGTCTGTATTCTCTGGTGGCAGATTTTTGTATGCCTATCTTGTGTAAGTGGGCTCTAAGACCACGGTATCCTGTTCCAGAACCTACAATTGTTGTTGTTTGCTCTTTCCTGTTAGGTTTTGTTGTTTTGTCTGTAGTCTCCATTCTGCTTTCTGCTCCCTCTTAAAGGGCTGTTTTGGACAAGTATGACTGGCGTTGCCAGTTTCTGAGAGTGACTGATGATATGTTTAACTTTGCAGTGGAAATTAAACACAGAACACCACTGTTAACAGCTGCATTTTTCTCTTAGCAAAAGATAATCCAAACTCAGCCAGGATCAAATTGAAACGAGCACCAGAAAGAACTGAATCAGATAAAGTCACAAGGACAGAGAAAAAAGATGTAAGTATTATTTGTTATAGATTGGTTATTTCTGTGCCTGGGTTATTTCTGTGCCTGAATACAGACAAAATAGAAGACATAAGCTGCATTAAGGTTTCACTTGTCAATTATTTACAGTAAAACCTTATTACCATAAATTCCACAGGATTTAAAAAAAAAAAAAAAAAATAAGGAGTTCATATTTAAAAAATCCATGCTAACTTGTCACTAATAATCGTACATCACTGCTGCTGGGACAAAAAATGTTTATGCTAACCAAGTGTTTGTCTTAAGCGACTTCATGTTAACAAGTTTTACTTTATAAGTCATTCTGATTGACCTTTTGGCTTTTGTAAAGATTTCTTATCTACTTGTTCACTACAGCTGTTTTCTGGCGCTGGCATTCATGTTGCATATTACTGTACTGTGAACTCTCTGCATGCTAACAAAGATGTTCTTTGTCTGACCACTTCTTGTATTGCCATGAATTTTGCCATTAAGTCGTGTGTATGTGTGAGAGAGAGAGAGAGAGAGAGAGAGAGAGAGAGAGAGGGGGGGGAGTATGTGAGAGAGGGAGTATTTATGACATCAAGCCTTTTGCTTTTTGTGCTGCTTTCAGTAATATTTCTGTGTTCATTTATGTCTTCAAAGAAGCTGTTGTTTGCTTCTCACTGATTGTTGCCATTACAGTTGCAGGTGGAAGCCATGGATCCTCCTAGGCCAAAACCAACAAGACAGCCTTCTATCCCTGACAGCACAAGTTCCTCTGATGAGTTCCTAAAAGTTGCAGAAAAGGAAGGCCCCAGGGAAATAGAAGCCAGAAGGTTGGACATTTCAGTACTGTTTGTTTTTAAACATTGACTTGTAACATTACCTTTCTTATATACTTCACGGTGCTACGAGTTTATAATTTGTCTCAAATTTGAGAACTTATTTTTACTTTTTATTGGCATTCAGTTTTCATTTGCTGTGGTCAGACCATGAGGTGGGCTGCCTCTGTCAACTTGCTTGTTGCAGGTCCTCCATGGTTTCCTATAGCAAGCTCTGCACACTTTGCTCTTGAAACCAGGATTCTCTTTGCAGGTGTAAATACAGTGGGCAGAATGTGCTTAGATGTTTTTTGGTCCTTTCTGTGGGGAACTGTATAGTCTTTATTTCATGCATGTGGTAGTTAAGCCTGCAGAGTTGTGTTCTTAGACAGAAATTTATTGTATGATGTTTTCTGTTGAGTCTGCTGATGGGCTCTTGCAGATTTTTACTGTAGGTTTTTTCCTTCACAATTCCATCTTCTGTATTTTGTCCAGTTTGTTTAGATTTGATTTGGCTGCAGTGGAGTATGCTCCCATGTCAGTCCAGGATTGTTCATAAATATCATATGTATACTTGTTACACAGTCTTAGCATTGATGCCCTAGCTTGTGGTAACTTTCTTCATAAGTGAGCCAGATGGTAGCTTTCCTTCGGTATCTTCATAGTGGGGGCCCTGGGTTAGTCTTCTATGGAATTTGACACCCAAATATGTGGGATTGTCTACTTTTGGAAGAATGTTTTCTTCTAGGTACAGATGAACTTGTTCTGGCTTTGTGGAAAGAGAGAAGAGAGTTTAGAAAATCTTATTCTTGTTTATTGTGACTTCCCAAGAGTGTGCCCATTTCCTAACTGTATTGATAGCTTTCTGCATTCTTGTTTTAGATGTTTCTGTGTGTTCAGCTTGAGTCTATATGGCCAAGTCATCTGCATGTACAGCTTTGTGAATGTAAGTTGTGAACTGTTTAGGGAGGTCATTGATGGAGAGATGAGTAGTGTAGGAGATACATTTCCCTGAAGAACACCCTTTTGTCTGAGGAACTTATTTAAGCGGGAACAAAATCACAAAACATAAATGGATGTTTCAGACAATAAACTTCCCATTGTTTTTTTTTTTAAAGTGCCAGTCATTTATTATGAGCAGAAGTATGTTATAGTTCATCTATTCATAGTTTATTGACTTAAGTAGTGGATCTTTATGTCTTCTTTTTTTCTTTATTCACCCTTAAAATGGTGATTGGCACATTTACAACTAAGTTGCAATTTCTGCACCTTTTAACCCAATACATACAGTTGCACAAATCCATGATTTATCAGTCACCCTTTTCAAGATGCTTGTTGGAGGGGGGGGGGGGGGGGTCTACTGTTGTTTTATCTTTCTTTTTTCTCCCCAAAATGAAGCTCTGGAATCCACACAGGAAGTCTACAATGTCATTTCCAAAGGCTGGTACATTTAAGTCTCATTTCTCAGAACACTTATTTAAGGATATATGAAAATTGATGAAACTGTTTACCCAGTCAGTGTTTTCTGATTTTTGTTTCACAATGAATGGGTTAACAACAAACAAATAGTTGTGATGTTTGCAATGTTCTAAAAAACGACTTAAAATTTTTTTTTCAAATTCATAAAAGACTTTGAGGTCATTGTTATCCAGATTTCTAGTTTAGTTTGCTCTAAGAGACATTAACTAAACATAAGATATATATTTAAAAAAAGAAACATTCATCCACGTACCTCGCATTTGTTTGTTGTACTTTACTACGTTAATAATAATTTAAATTTTGAACTTAATGACATCTTAAGTGAATCACACCTAATAATGTTTATCAGTTATCTGATAAATAATCCGTACCACAGTCATGTACAGAATCAGTACAAAAAGTCTGACCAGTAAAAAGGCAACATAAATCTTTGCCTCTGTTGAATGTTGTCTCTTCTCCTTTATTGAATGTTTTCAGTATTTTCTCTGCAGGGAAAATAAGGAGATCAACAACTTAATCTGTCTCCTGAACACCACACTTCAGATGAATAATACAGCAGAAAACTCAGATGAAGAAGAAGAAGAAAGGGCATTAAAACCTGGTAAAAAGAAGTCTGAAAGTTCCTTACCTCCCCCACAGTTGGCACAAGAGCCCACTCTGAATCATCAGATTCACAAATCTGTGTCAATGCCTAGTGAGTATCTTGTATTTATTCCATGTATTAAAGCAAGTTTTCTTAACTCTAGGGTGTGGATTCAATCCTATCTGTGACCAATTTGACAGAAGACTGCCTAGCGTTGGTTCAGTCAGTGGTACAAGAGCTGACTGTTCAGGTAGCAATGGCAACTTGTCGTGGGGCAAATGAGTTTGGGTTTTCTGTAAATGTGACAACAGTACAGGAGCTGCAGTGTTAAGCATGTTTTCCTGCATGCCTGATGGTCACGAAATTGACTTTACATTGAAGTCGTATTCTTTTCATTTGTACAAGCGATATAGTTGAGTTATGCCTGTTGTGAAGCAAACTTGCGATATTTGTGCCTTTCAGCCAGCATATCTGACTCCATTGAGTATTTGTTGACCGGGTTAACTTCCCGGATACTTTCATGAGAAACCACGTAGCCTTATTTATGTGGTGTTCTCTTTGTTCCTGTATCTACAGATGTTGATACTGGTGAACCTGTCCAGGGCATCTGCATGTAGACTTGTCAGCCCTCAGGGGAAGGCAGGGACAGATCAAGGGCAGTCCCCACCATCCAAGGAGGCTTCCATAAATGCAGAGCCAACACATAATGCTCTGTTCCTGGCTCAAGGAATTGGCACATCCTGCACATCAAGGCTTAACCTCACATTAGTATGTTGAGCTTCCCACTCATCCCAGGCTGCGCTGTCAGGAGAACAGCAGGGAGCAGGCTGCAGGTCTGGGACTTTGACAACAGCACAGATAGGGACATTCTTTTTTCAGCACATTAGACAACTTTGTAAGTGTTTCATCTAGACACTTAGCATGACGGTAGGGAGAAAGCATGCATCAGGCATGGCTTCCAGACACTGTGATGAGTGGGGCAAATGGTAATGGTATTTGAACCTTTCTGAGAATCATTAGGACTTTGTCTGATATTTGAGCCTTATCAGCTGACCGACAGTGGCAGATTGTCATGGTGAACCTTAACGCGGTGACGACGACGTACAAGGGATATATGGAGACAGGACTGTACCGCAAGATACCACCTGCAGGAGATGTTGCTTGTCTAAGCTGCAAGTGAATCTCTTGGCAAGGTGAGGTATGGAGCATCTCCTTATACACATGTGACCGAAATCATCGAGCCACCTACAAACATTTGGAGTAACCAACTGGAAAGAGAAAGCCAGTAACAGAGATGAATGGAAGCTGGTGATATCTGCAGCAAAGAATCTCATGGCTTGGAATGCTGTAGACGACTTCTCACAAATAGATTAGCAACACCAACAAGTCTGATTTGAAGACAATATGAAACTTGAGAAAATCATTTGTTTTCAGGTGTTGAAACATTAACAGACACATCAAGATTGATGCAGAGAATTAGAGTGCTGCATTCGTAAGTAGCATTTACTTACTGTCACTTCAGTGGCCTGTTACCAAGTCCTTCTATCATTTGCAATAACATGCAGCTTTCCCCATTTTTTTTTTTCAACTCCACTCTCTGGCTCCCTTCTCCGTGTGTTTTTTGGTCTTCTTTTTATTTTCTATGCCCCTGTGGGTTCCAGTGCAAAAACGTTCTACTTATATTATTTTCAGGTTTTCTCAACCGCCATATAAGGATGAGCAAGATATGTAACTCTAAATTATATAGTTTTGGAAAGAAGTTATCAGTTGTAATGTTATTTCTGTTTTAGTATATGCCAGTGAAAGTTGGAGAACCGCTAAAGATATGGAACAAGAAGGTTAAATTCATTCAAAAACAAATGCCTGAGGAAAATGATAAACATAAAATATGATGAACTTAAAAGGAGTAAAGAAATAATATAAATATATGGGCAGCCACTGGTATCAACAGTTATATGATAGGGAAGATGGCGCTAGATTGGACACATTCTGAGAAAAGATAAGCAGAGAACCACTGAACAGGCATTGAAATGGGAAATAGAGGGATTAAGAAAACAAGACAGTTCAAATGTTGAATGAAGAATCAACATCACAGCACTCTGGACACTCCCATACATGCTCCATCCCCATCTTGAGCATCAGGAGAAGAGTTCCAATTGTAAATCCGTCTCGTCTTTCCCTTGAGTGTTGACCATCAGCCAGATCCCCTAGTAACTCCTTGCAGATGACCACTCGCATGTGAATTAAATGACAGTCGTGTTTGGCAGTCGTAGCAGAGGACCAAAATTGCACAAACTCAGGTGTGTGTGCATATTACTGTTACACTGTCATATAAATAGAGAAAGATAAAGACAAAATATAGTCAAAAAATTTCCTGTCTTTACTGTCTGTATGTACAATTGTTAGATGGACTGTTTGTGTTGGCACTTCTGATGGCTGCCTTGTACTTTTAATCTCTGTGTATGCTAGTGGATATGCTGAGACTGCAGTCTGTATCAGTTTTTCCACAAGAGACAGTGATGGACATTCTGTTTGTTTCTAGTGGCACAGGAGCAGAGCAGTTATGGGGTGACCTGTTTGCTCTGAAGCTGAAACTAAGATTACCAGATTACTATTTATAGGGCTGTTTAGACAGAGAGGGTTTTGAGCCTGGGGAGTTTGGGTTGCATGGCTAGTGCATTCACCACAAACTATGCTGGTTAGGATTACTTTTGTATGCCCCCAATAGAAACAATTTCCATCACTTTACCAAGGATTCTTATCCCACTCTCTCTAATGAGAGCCCAGTATTCGAACTGCTTGTTCGACCAGTTGCTCTCTAACTGACAAGAACATACAACATAAATATATCTTCATATAAAGAAAATGATAGATAAACAGAATCAAAGCTACTCAGATAAACAAACATAAACGGACACAGTGCAACTAATTAATACATTTGGCCTTAGAAGGCGAGCTTAGGCTCCTCAGACCCCTGTGTACAATTAACGTGCAGTATTTTCTTGGTAATTGAACAATTTTTGGGAGGTTTTTACTTTGTTATAATACATCTCTTTTTTTTTTTTTTTAGAAGTAATACTTTACAACGTGATTTACACTGGCAATCTTGAACATTCAGCATTTTACTCCCAACTTAGTTTTGGATTATTTCTTGCCTTCTTGATACCAACATATGTTGTAATGTTAGTATCTGACCTGCCACTTTGGAGAGGTCATTAAAATATTTTGTTGTACCTATGTTTTCAGAGACTGCATAAAGGGCGTTGGTTATCAGGCACTTAAGAAAGCCTATGAAATCCTGAACAAGATAGATGAAGATGAAGTGGAGGTAGGTACTTTTCAGAGAATATGTTAATCTCAAAATATGCAAAAACCGCTAATAGAGAAGTCTGGCGATCTCTCTGGCAAACCTCTACAACCCAAGGTAGAAGAATAATGACTAAGTAAGTAAGTTAGTCATTATATGCATCAGATGTTAATTGCTTTTATTCTGAAATTCTTGGTAAATATCTTCAACTGGTTGTCTACAGTTTTATTTCTAGGTAAACCAGAGAGTCCATTTGTTTGTATGTCTTTAACTGTTGTCTAGTTTTATTTCTAGGTAGACCAGAGAAGCTTCTTGTTTGTATGTCTTCAACTGGTTGTCTACAGTTTTATTTCTAGGTAGACCGGAGAATCTTGTTTGTATGTCTTCAACTGGTTGTCTACAGTTTTATTTCTAGGTAGACCGGAGAATCTTGTTTGTATGTCTTCAACTGGTTGTCTACAGTTTTATTTCTAGGTAGGCCGGAGAATCTTCTTGTTTGTATGTCTTCAACTGGTTGTCTACAGTTTTATTTCTAGGTAGGCCGGAGAATCTTGTTTGTATGTCTTCAACTGGTTGTCTACAGTTTTATTTATAGGTAGGCCGGAGAATCTTCTTGTTTGTATGTCTTTTTAACTGATTGTCTGAATTTTTGTTTTCTAGGTAAACCATAGAGTCCATTTGTTTGTATGTCTTCAACTGGTTGTCTTAATTTTTTTTCTTTCTAGGTAGACTAGAGAACTTCCTGTTTGTATGTCTTTAACTGATTTTCTACAGTTTTATTTCTAGGTAGACTGGAGAGTCCTCGTTTGTATGTCTTAAACTGTTGTATAGTTTTATTTCTAGGTAGACAAGAATCTTCTTGTTCGTTTGTCTTAAACTGTTGTCTAATTTTATTTCTAGGTAGATTGGTGAGTCCCCTTGTTTGTATCTCTCCATCCAGTCTTATGTTTATGATGATCTGATATGTTGATGTGTGACTAAAAGAGAAGATGTTAAAACTGTTTATTGAGCAATGATTAAGTTTAAGCTGTTAATGTAATTCTGAGGTAATGAGATGTATTTTTACTACCAATCTAAGGCAGTGGTAAGTTATAGGATTTGGTTAAGAATGAACATGTTATAACAGAGTCTATGGAAAGATATTTAAGCCCTGTACCTTTAGAATTATTAGAACACAGTAAAAAAAGGTCGGGGGGGGGGGGGGGGGGGGGCTGCAGAATAGGATTATACCCACCCCCTTTTCTGGTTTACACTTCTGGCTTATTCGTATGCGGACTGTTACTTCCTTGCCTCTCAGGCAGAAGATGCACTCCAACATGCTTATTAGGGGAGGCAGTGGGTATATTCTTTATTGTCCAAAATGGAGCCTGCGGAATCCACATGGGAAGTATCAGAAGTGAAATGACTAGTGGTATGCAAGACTAGACAGACATGACCAACACTGCACAACATAACTAAGATAGCTGTCTATGTGCTTGTGTATGCACATGTCTACTCTGTTTTAAAATATACGTTATAAGCTCGTAAGTAAATTCAACACTCTAAAGATTTCATATTTAAGCTTCTTCTTCAAATATCATATGCATTTGTTTTTTTTCATCACAGCCAAAACTTGTTGACCTTCTTGGAAAGGAAAAGTTTGATGAATATGCAGGAAAAATCTGGCAACTCAAGTTCTGTGAAGAATCATTGTTTATATCCTCATGAAGCAGCATGCCCACTTATTACTGTCATTTTCCAATGATGAACAATTGGGTGTGGTTTTAATGTATGTAAGTAAAGAGCCTTTTCCACACCTTCAGGCCTACTGTCCATATAGAGTTAGACGCCCGGCTCGCTAGCATAGTTGGCTAAACCTGACTTCGAGACGACTGGGTGACGAACTCCTTGTGGTCCAGGTTCACGCCCAGGGGTCGGCAGAAAAGCCACATTTCTCCAACGGTATTTATCATGGAATCAAGGCCGAAGGGTTGCGATATCCATAGTACCGAGCCAAAGGGTTAAGAACTCGTGGTTTCTGGATATTTAAAAAAAAGTTAGACCTCTATTTTATAGACTAATTGGTGCTTGGTCGGTGATGTGGGCAACATTACGCCAGCCACCTTTACTTCCCACGACTGTACCTGGTACCCATTTCAGGCTGGGTTGACCTGGCAGCCAAGGTGATTTTTTGTTTTAAAAAGTCCGCTCCATGAGGACCCGAACCCGTGACCTTCAAGGCGAGCGTCTAGCTGCTATACCACAGTGCCCCCCCTCCCCCCCCCCCCCCCCCAAATTCTGTGTGTTAATATGTGTAGTGTAAATTTGGCCTACAGCTCCAAGTCTTCGGTCGGAGATTGAGATATTTTGAAAACTGTACAGAGAATCTGGTCAAATAGAAGCATCATCTTTGACTTCGTGACAGTTATACAGATGCCATTTGTATGAGAAGTGAATTTGATGATAATATGTTGTTACTACTGTACATTAATACAGAAATGTATTTTGGGAATAAAAACCCACAATCGGGCATATAATCATCTTTCCACTAATAAAAGATGTTCTTTTAACAATTCACTTGTAAGTTTTGTTGTGTTCAAATGTACCTGTTTTAATCTCTGATGTCCCTCTGTGAGTTTTGGGGGAGTGGGGAGAGACATACTTGCTTACCCCCACTCACCCCAACATGCATATTGTAAGGTGTCTTATTAGGGGTTAGCTTAAATTGGTTGCCTTATGTGGAAAGGCAAAGACACTGATATTACAGTCTTGCTGTAAACCACAATGCAACATATTAACCTCCCTTTTGAGGGCAAGGCCAAACAACAAAATTAAGCCACTCAAAATAATAATAATCTACTAACAGACTGGACAAAATATTTAAAATGCTAGGAGTAGAATCTCTGAGCAGTAATTGTGTCCACCATCAAGTGTGTCCACCCAGCTTCAGCATATGTGGCGCAAGCTGTCAAGGTAGAATATTGATGACATTCTTTGCATCTCAACCCTTTCAATTAAATAAAAAAAAAGGGGGTGCGGGGGTGAATTCCTGAAATTTTTTTCAAAACAACCACTTTACATAGGTAACTAATACATTTTTAAAATGTAATCCATATGACATTTTTTTGGGTCTACATATATACACAAACACATTTAGTATTAAAAAAATAATTTTCAAAATTTTGATATATGCATTTATTATGTAAATCCCAGAGAAGCCAGTTGTGATGGATACATAAAATAACAACTAACAATATTTCTAAAATTGTTAAATGAAAATACTGAGTGTGCCATATCACATTTTGACATTTATATTACTAAAATGTACAGCTGCCATATGGTATGACTACATATGTTAATTAAAAAATCTGTAAAAGTGTTACATAATTACTCATTATTCTGCTCCAAATGTAACGTTAACTTTGGCTGGCTCAGGTGATAATGACTCTTCATAGCCTTCACTTTTTTTATGAATTCATATAGAAATAATTGTATTGGTCATTTAAGAAGATCTTTATGACACACTATTGTTGTTCTTCTTCTTGGCGTTCACCAACTGTACACTCTGGCAGAAAGTTCTGGTTGCTCGTCCATTACTGAACTGCAGTCCTGCTCCAGAACCTGAGTGTTGCGTGTGCATCAGTTTTACAGATCTCATTCTCTTGAATACAGACTGTTGGTTCCTTGCCTCTCCGGCAGATGCACTCCGACTTCAAAGGAAGCTCCTCAATTAGTCGACTCTTACGACATGCTTTTGGTGAGGCAGTGGGTCTATTCTTGTTTTCCCCACAATGGGGCCCCAGAACCCACACGGGGGACACTGTTGTTGAAATTTTACCTTATGTCAACACAGTTTACATAAACATTACATGTATTGTTAATTTCTGAGTCATAAGTAAATTATATTTATGCAAACGTTCATGGGTTGTCTGTCTGGCTTTCAGTAACAATAATTTGTAAATGCAGCATTTACTTGATTTATTCTATTATAAAAAAAATTAAAAATTAAAGTTAGTAAAAGTTACGTAAAAAAAAAATGGACATAATTCCATTTTTAAAAAACCTAAACAATGACCAGACGCAACAAAATTGTATAATACGTATGGGCATCAAAGCATAGTCAAAACTGAATAACGGATGATGGCAAAGAAAACACAATTTTGAAAGAATAGAAATGGCCATAAATAAAAATTCCACAGTAAACTATTTCTTCTTAAGCCTTCTTACTAATCAAAGGTAAAGCCTCCGTTTGCATATTCTATCACCACTGTTGTCATTATATTTATAGGCTGGATGTAGCAACCCTTTGTACAATTAAATATACTTCATATACAACACACACACAAAAGATGATGTACACAAAAAATAAATACTTTTAGTCAGTCAACTGTGCCTGCACAGTGTAGATCTAAGGTTAGAAACCTTTATTTCAGTACAAACATAATCTCAAATAATTGCGGGCACAAACAATAGACTGCATAATTTATTGCCTGGCGTATTTTGCTGTATCTCGTCAGGTGCATTACTACAGAGTTAAATTGACAAATAATGAAGCATAAAAATAAATCCTTTTCACTAAAAAGAAATGCAATCACATAAAAAGTTACTTGGTTTTAAAAACTATATTCTGCTATGATACAATTGTGATTGCACACTTAGTTATAAAGTCATCTCCAGAGAATGGAAAACTAGTAAACATCCATGTCTACAGAAGCAGGGGTAGGTCAGTCAGCTGTATATATCATAATATCAATGTTGAAAGTCTAGCCTGATGCATTAAAAACTTCATTTATGACATGCGAGAAGCCGTGATGTAAAATGTAAACATAAACTTATGAATGTAATCAATTTAAGGTCTGACTGATTACTTCAGATGTAAACCTCTCTATCTTTTACTAATTTCACCATCTTTTATTTAACATTACTACCATATTTTCCTTGGTCAGTATTTTCTTCTCTTCTTCTTTTCTTTTCACAAAGGCATTTGGTGACACATTCATGTTATCTATTGTTAGACCACTGACGTCATACCATAATAGAATACTAGCTACCTCATCCTAGAGAGAAAATCCGGCCATCATGATGTAATTTGTGACCTAAAAAACACAACCACTCACGACCATGTTCTCAAGGGGCTGGCTTGACATGGATTGGTTGAGGGCCTATGCTCCAGCAGGAGATGAAAGAGAGAGGAAGCCAAGATTCCCAAAATAAGATTTTATGCTCATTTTGTTTTGTTGTGGATGCTGCTCTCACACTAGATGTTTCTTTAAAACCTGACACCAAAAGGTAGCGCAGGAAAAATAGAATTGAAAGAAAACTACAGCGAGTCAACTGTCACTCTCCTATAACAATATTACTTCATGCAGTTTTTCTTTCACCATCTCTTTTTGTGGTAAGGTCTGACAGCTTGTTATGGGTCATGAGTTCGGTTATTTTCACAGCACTTTGGACAGGTCTGTAGGTTCTGCTGTTGTTCTGCTGTGTCAGTATTATGCTGGTTAACAAGACTTCTTGTATGTCCGGTGTCTCTCATGGCTGGCTGTGCCAATCTTAACTCTCAGTTCTTAAATTTTAGCAGTGTTGTGGAGACACTGCTCCCTAGAGCCTCCTCCCTAAATCCTCTGATTGTCTTTACCTCTATAAGGGCATTAACAAAGTAGACACAACCAACAGGCCAGCAATCTGCAGCTAAGATAGAACCAGCAAATCTATCAGCTCCTTCACTGCTGACATCTTGTATGAGCTGATATTGGCTCTGTTCTAAAACAGAAGCACAAACACTTGCCTTTCAGCAAGTAATTATATTTCTCTCCTTCATTCATGATAACCAAAAAGACAATCATGTTTGAAGAGGAAAAGACATACACAGCTATACAGAATCGTCTATGGTTAAATCAATTACATCCTCTGGTATTTCCATTGTTAAGTCTATCCAATCAGATTTCTCATCTATCTCTATACTGTGCACAGATTCTCTAGCCGAAGGATGGTGACAATCATTAGAGTTCCGCACATAGCCCTTTCTGCATTTAAATGTTACTGGGTGGGCAGTCTCAACTTTAGATACACTATGGATGACTTTACAGTCGTCTGTTGATTTCTTTAATCTAGAAAATGAGCACTCAAGATCTGTTGCTCTTTGACTGATGAAATTACATGTATTTTTAATTTCTGTAGCTGAATCATCTTTTGTAAGACATGTGACCCTTTTAATGTCTTCAACCCCCCTTTCTTTGATTATGCTGTCTGATACATGTTTTCTTTTTAAAGCTGGATATCTGTTCAGCTGCCTGGAATTTCCGTTCACTGTGATCTGCATATTTTCTTGATTACAACTTGGAGACAGTTGTCGTGCTGTTGTATGCGCTGTAGTTTCTTTTATTTGCTTCCGAGATGAGTTCTCTTTTTCTGCATACGTGTTACTTGTTACTTCTTGTCTGTATTGACATCCTAGCACATCGGTCCCACCCATATAGGCTCTGTCCTCTGATGCAGCAGCCATCTCGGTGGCTCCATGCTCAACCAAACCAGTAGGGGTTGATTCTTTTCTTGCATGTATGGAAGGAATCAAATTGCTGAGGGATATTTCTTTGCCAGTTACCTCGCCAGAATTGCAATCATTCTGCACAAAGTTATCTAAACTATAACTCACAGACCACAGTGTCTGGGATTCATGTTCAAGTGTATTCAGTGAATCATCAGAAGAAGATAAAACTGACACTACTTCTGGATTCTGGGAAGTATCATCGTCACTAATGTTCTCTGTAGTAGCTGCTCCACAATCTTCCTCCCTCTGGTCTGATGTTGCAGACAAATGATCAACAGACGCTCCACAATCTTCCTCCCTCTGGTCTGATGTTGCAGACAAATGATCAACAGATGCTCCACAATCTTCCTCCCTCTGGTCTGATGTTGCAGACAAATGATCAACAGATGCTCCACAATCTTCCTCCCTCTGGTCAGATGTTGCAGACATATGATCAACAGCTGCTGCTGGCACACAGTTCTGATTTAATTCTTTTATAGAGGTCACCTGAGAACTATAAACTACGTCACCATCATCTTTAAAACTATTACCTGCAGAATCAACAACTGCTGAATTATTCTTGGCGATACCATCAACCTCATTGTACGATGAGGGTCTGACAGAAATACTTTCACCACTGCTCCTGGGGATGTTTGTCACAGCTCTTTCTTGAGCATTGTTTTCTTGTTTGTTATGAGACCCAAAGCTTAGTTCACACTCATCAGCACCATCAATGGCACTAGCTTTTCTGAGTTTCTGCTGCCTAATTAATGACATTTGTGTTGACTGACTACCTGCACACTGACTGCTATCTGCAGCATCTATATCTGCCTCATGGGTGGCAGAGGCTGAATGATCACCAATAGGAATTACTTCACATTCATAATTAGGGAAATTTTTAGATGTATAACAATCATCATCATTATTCTCAGAACCATCCTTTGACATATGTTGAACAGCCTTTCTGCATCTGTCATCGCTATCTGAAGATGACAGTTCTTCCTCACTGACAGCTAAGCCCCTGTATGAGGAATCAGAACTATATGCAAGACTGCTCCACACATAAGAAGAACCTTCAAATGCTGCGAGAGACATATTTTTACTTTCTTCCAACCTTCCAGCTGCAGCACCAGATGATGATGAAGACAACTGTGGACTTCTGGCAAGGATGTTTCTTGGTAATGCTTTCTTTGAGTCTGCCTCTTGGCTGCTGAACACCAGGTCATCTAAACTTTCTGCAATTAAACGGACAGGTTGACCACACACATTATAATACATGTAATATAAATACACATAATTATAAAATATGTGTGTAACATTTATATCTCACACAATAAATATTAATTACAGTTTTTAATATAAGCATTGTGTACAAGACATACTTCTTTATTTTTTTCTAACAATGGGCCTTAAAATCAGGCTGTCTTATACAATAAAGCTATGCTCATGTGTACTGTTATTTTTGCATAGTTGCCAGCGATATGGGAAAAGATAGTAAGCCGCATTCCTACACCTTGAGATTTAAACTCTTGGTAATGAAATATGCTGAAGAACATTGCAGAACATCATTTCGGACCTTCACTGACAGAAAAAACAAAACCGTTATGATTTGGCAGTCTCAACAGGATGATTTGTGTAAAATGAACAAAGTAAAGCATGCACAATTTCGACAAAATGCTTAAATGGCCAGAATTAGAAACATACACCAAAAAATGACACCTTGCAGTTCAGACTGGTAAACTAAACTAAAGATAATTTTTCATAATAACATGTCTAACATTTATAACTAGTACAATGAACTTTTACTACACATAATTTTTAGCATTTGTGACTGGTAAAGTAATCTACATTATATAAATATTCCTCTGCAGGCCGAATCTGGCCTGCGGAGACCTAGCAGGTGGCCTGCAGACCATTGCCAGTTGTATTGAATTAATGATCTTCCTACAATAGGCCTCAAACCTCTGGCCCGTAAGGATCCCTGTTTTCAACATTCTGGTCCCTGAATAAATTTAACAGACTACCCCTGATATAGATCCTTCCAGTTGTTGCCATTATCTGACAAGACTTAACATTTTGTTTACTCACGTTCAGGGGGACTGTATCATTCTTATGTATGTTGCTTTTCAAAGATTTACACCTGATTTCTATAGATTCTGGAGTCACAGGTAAACATGCTATCTCACAACCACCTCCTTCCTACAGGTAGCTCAATCGACATCATCATCTTCTTAGCGCTCACCAGCTGTAAACTCCACTGGAAAGTTCTGGCTGTTCATCCACTTCTGGACTTCAGTCTTGTTCCAGAACTTGAATTTTATGTGCACATCCATGTTACAGATCTGGCTTACTTGTATGCAGACTGTTGGTTCCTAGTCGCTCAGGCAGATGCACTTTGACTTCGGAGGAAAAATCCGACATGACTGTTAGGGTGGCAGTCTAATTTTTTTTCTTCTCCAAAATGGGACCCGGGAGCCCACACGGTGAGCTCAAGTTTGACATACAAAAATTAAGAGAACTCTGATAAACATTCATGAATAACCTGGTTTGTTCTGTGGTTTCTGCATGCTAGTGTGTACAGGGACAATCTTTCTGAGAGTTCCTAGAGGTTGGAAAGGTTTCAACTCTACAGACGTGTGGTCTCTGGCACTGTGGATACGCTTCTGAAAACTATGAAGTCTCGCCTGTACCTGAAACAAAAACAGCATGACACCAGTGACATATGGTGACTTGTGAAACAGCTTATTCTATCCACTCAGGAGGTTGGTGATATCTAAGGCATTATAAAATGCTAGCTGGGGACACAATGAACACAGACACACAAATATAAGCTCACGTGTCTCATCCTGCTTCCTATAAACCAATACTGGTGCTATATACTGTTAGCACATTCTACAGCAACATATTACCTGGCCTCTGCACAGTACTTTTTTCATGATTCATTACAAGTTGCTTGTTTTTGTTCACTATGTATCACCATTTATATTTAAATCTTCTTCTTCTTCTTTCGTTCGCAAGAAATAAATTGTCTATATCTGCAAAGCTGTCTCTAGTATGAATTTCACTGTCTTTTGTAATTCACTAAGCGGCCCGTAAAGTTTGACTTCCATAAGTGTCTCTTTTGGCCAAAGGTTTTGCCTGAAAGCGTTGAATCTGGGACAGTCTTGAAGGATGTGATCTGTTGTTTCAGGTGCCAGTCCACAAGTACACATGGCTGATTGCCATTTGTGTGTGTTGTTACTTCAGCGTTACCGCCAATTGTATATGTTGGTACTTCAGTTAGTTTTGCAATTAGAATGTGTTATTACTTCTGTATGTATCACCATTTATGTATGATGTTACTTCAATATGTATCACAAATGTATTGTTACTTCAGCATTTATCACAATTTACATGTATTATTACTTCCGTATGTTTCACCATTTATTTGTATTATTACTTCAGTATGTATCACCATTTATTTGTGTTGTTACTTCAGTTATGTATCATCATTTCTGTGTGTTGTTATTTTAGTAGATATCATCCTTTATGTGTGTTGTTACTTCAAGTGTGTATCACCATTTATGTATGTTGTTATTTCAGTATGTATCACCATTTATTGTGTGTTGCTACTTCAGTATGTATCACCATTTATTGTGTGTTGCTACTTCAGTATTTATCACCATTTATTGTGTGTTGTTATTTCAGTATGTATCACCATTTAGTGTGTGTTGTTACTTTAGTATGTATCGCCATTTATGTGTGTTGCTACTTCAGTATGTATCACCATTTATGTGTTGTTACGTCAGTGTGTATAACCATTTATGCGTGTTGTCATTTAAATACAAATTTTTGTGTTTTTTCTTTCTCATTTATAAGCATTTGTTTTTTCCTCACCATTTATAGTTTTTCTTCACAATTTATGTTTTTTATTTCCTATTTACACAATTTTACCTCATTATAAGCAGCTGAACATCTCTAAAATGGTTGGTCTTTAGTTTCACTGTATTAATAAAAGTTGAGCCGAAAGAAAAATTACTAATATTGCCTTAGCGACAACACACTTGCAGACTAATATTTTTGATGTAATCATTTGATGAACATGGGTTTACAAAATCTAATACTTCAAATTCCTGACCGCCTTTAATCATTTAATTTTACAGTGAATGTTGTTTTGAGATAGATTTGCATTTGTGCTTGTGCTATTAGTCCCTGCAAAGAAATAAAATTAATGCCAGTCTCAGCAGAATTAGCTTTCCTACAGTTTTCAAGTGAGGTAGTTTACTGCAGTGTCTAGACAAACAAGTAACTGAGCCCACAGTTCTTTCACATAAAAAAAAAAAAAAAATACTGAAATTCATTCAAAAGACATTCTTGCAGGTAGAAACCATTTATTTCAAGTGAACAAAAGAAAGTGCCTCTTCTTTATTGTTGCTTATGTCGGTGCTTTTAATATTACCAACAGCATGTTTACCAACTGGATACATTAACCTATGTCATTTATCTGTCATGCTTTATAAACAAGAATTACAATAATATATCAAGAACAATCTGGTACTACTACTCACAATTTCCATGCTGTCATCGTCCTTAGGCTGCACATTTGGGAATACATTCTCCGGTTGTAAAAAGCTCACAAGGTCACGGATCTCACTGGGAAACATACAACCAGGTCACTGATAAGTTAAAGTTAGTTGTGTATCCTTTACAGGACGTAGCAGAACCAACCCCAGAATTTTTTTTTGCTGTTGTGGTTTTTCTAGGCAAATTTTACGTTCAATAGTTTGCCAATGCTTCTGAACTGTCAGCTCTCGGTACCAGTCTAAACCAACACAAGACAAATCATCCACAGCTGGAATCGAACCTGGCACATTCGCAATGCCTAAGCCACATTAGCTGACTTCAATTAGGGTTCTTTTTAGTTTTGCCAGTGTGTCGCTGTTGAAAACTTGCAGAACTGACATTGTTTTAGCAAGAAACAAACCTGCCTACAATTATTTGTGTATTCCTCATTTCTGTGGCAGTTTTTAGGAGCTGTAATTCAACACAGTAGTTTGAGTAGAATATTCCAGGTGGCAAACAGACAGATTTATATATTATCTAGAGGAGACTGTATAAACTTTAGCCATAAATTATTTTTAATCAAAGTTAGTTCTGCTCAGCTGATATGGCATGCATCAAATACTTGGACAGAACAATCAAATACTACTTAAACATGGATCAGATTTAAGAAATACCAGAAAAAAAAGGTACAATATATAACCAACACCATGTTTGCCACTGAAGCCCAATTTAAACCAATGGTTTTTACTGGTTTCTTAAAATATATTCCAACATATAGTATTTGCTGCTGCCCATACAGGCAATTTATTCTCTCTTGTGTAAAACATGTTAATTTAGTCATCAGCTTAACATAGGTTTTTTGAGGGTTTTTTTAAGCTCTCAGAGTTAATCTTTTTAGAGTCTGTGGACTCACCCATAGCTATATCAACTATAGATTTGCATTAAGTTAAAATAAATTATATCCTGATATTCCTGAGAGGTCTATCATTTTCCTTTTTCATTTTCTAAAATTTGAATGTTTTATTCTGATGTGGAACAGGAGGACTATTTCCTTTTTTCTACAAAAAAGAGTGATAGTTGCATTTTTGCTCGCTGAATTTCAAAATATAATTAATAAGGGTCTTCAAGAAAAGCAGAAAATGGGATGGTATCCACTGTAGTCCACATATTTTCTGGTTCACTGAGGGTATCTTTTTAGTCCTGTCAGTGTGTTGCTGTTGAAAACATGCAGAATTGACATTGTATTAGCAAGAAATAAACCTGCTTCCTATGGCTTGCGCATTTATCATTTCTGTGGAGATGTTTGGTGCTGTAATTTAACACAGTAGTTTGGGTTGAATATTCCAGTTGGCAAACAAATGGATTTTTATATTTTACCTAGAGGAGACTGTATAAACTTTAGCCATAAATTATTTTTAACCAAAGTTAGTTCTGTTGAGCTGGATTATTTTAACTTTAAAAGTATTACCTGTATGAAGAATGCAGTGAGTAACACATACGGTAAAGGCCCGTTGGGTATGCAGGTGGCACTACAAGGTCTTTAGCTGTAGATTGATCTGAAGTAAACCACATTGCTGAGGGTCTCAAGTTCAAAATACTGACAGGTTCACTATCTGAACTTCTGCGACATGGCAGACTTCCCTTGCAACTCATCTGGGAATAATTATGGCATGTTAGTATGTAGCTGCTTGTGGTAATTTACACATGAACACTAAACTTTCAACTGTCCAATGTAGCTGCTTGTGGTAATTTACACATGAACACTAAACCTTCAACTGTCCAATGTAGCTGCTTGTGGTAATTTACACATGAACACTAAACCTTCAACTGTCCAATGTAGCTGCTTGTGGTAATTTACACATGAACACTAAACCTTCATCTGCCCAATGTAGCTGCTTGTGGTAATTTACACATGAACACTAAAGCTTTGACTGTCCAATGTAGCTGCTTGTGGTAATTTACACATGAACACTAAACCTTCAACAGTTGAATGTAGCTGCTAAGGATAATTAGAACAAGAACAATAACCCTAGAGTTTTGAAGTCCATTTACTCTGTGGTGTCATGGGTTTTGTGAACATACTAAATAGCTAAAAAAAAATTAATTTAATAGAAATACAGAAAATAATACATAAATATCCAAATGAGTATGGGAAGGATTTTGAAAGTGAAATTATATGGCAGATGAATAAGAATTATTTGAGCATTCTGTGAGCCAGACAATGGTTTAAAGTGACAGGTACAATGATTTATATTTGTCAACTTCTGTGGTCTCATTTTTGTGTATTTGTAGCAGTCTTCCCCATGTGGGATATGCAATTTTTCGTTATTTGAAATTCCACCCTGGCTTTTGCCGGGGCCCTGAATATAGCCCGGCCATAAATATGGCCTTACACCTGAAAGGGGTTTCTGGGACCTCTCCATGGGTGATACTCACCCGCATGGTGGCACTTTGTGTTACCGGGTGTTTGTCACTTGTGTGATGTCCTGGTTGGGTACAAAAAAGAAAGAAAAAGAGAAACTTTGGTGATTTCTTTAGATGTTGATTTCTTTTCCATGTTACTGAATTATTTTGTTTTTTTCCATTTATATTGTAATTGTCTCTTTCTCTTTTATCAGTATCTCTTATTACATGTCCAAGATAGAAGACATCTGGTGATAATAACATATTACTAGCTCTATGCTGTTTCTGGGTAAATATCTATTTGTTCAAAGTATTAAAGCATAAAGTGAACCTCAAGTGATTTATCTATCAAATAGAGATCTTATCTACTGCCCTGCCTATAGCATCATTTATGACAAAATATATACAAACAAATAAACTCACACACCTTAGCTGAACATGCATGAAGGCGTGTTTCAGTTGGGTCAGAGGTAAAAACATTTTGCAATTTCGGTATCTGGTCATAGATCCAAGTTTTCCATTCTGGTACATGAATCTGAAATATGGAGGTTCAGTCTATTTCACATCCAGGTATTTGAAAACAAAAAACACTTTGCATACAATTCAGAACAAGCTATTTTATCATGAAAAAAAATTGCTTTGAAAAAAATCAGGGAACTGGTAGTTTTTAGTATAACTGTTTAACAGTATTTAGTAAAGCTATGCGCAGCTACTGGCCTAGAGGATACAACATCAGGCTCTCATACGGGTGACTCGGGTTCGACCCGCGGTAAGGTGGTGGACTTTTTCTGTGGGGGGAGGGGGGGGGGGGGGGGGGGGGGGAGGTGGCGCAAAATTAAACATTCTAACCTGTACAGTCTGTTGCAACAGCTCTAGCCATGCGGCCCTAAATCCTCAGGCTCGCGAGCCCTCTTGTCTACACCGCCCTAAAAAGTGGTAAATACATTCAGTAGTGAAAGATATTTTGGTACAGTAAACTGTTATACTGATGTTATTATTTAGTAAGCTACTGCTATAGTGAAGAAGGAATTATCAACAGCTGTAATCAACAGGAGTAACTAGAGAAAAAAATAATGATGATATATAAGAAATTCATAAAATAGTTTGAATGAATTCTGTTACATGTATGACCTAACAAATGCATGAACTAGCATAACTGGAGATAGTAAATATGATTCTCCTTCTGCTTTTGTCCCTTTATCAAACAAATGCACTTAGCCAACTCATGTCAAGTTTTCTCTTCTTTCTCGCCTCCTTCTTCTTCTTCTTCTTCACTTCCTCTTCTACCGCTGTGGGTGTCGAGGAAGATATAAGGTTCTGTCTCTAGCTCTTCTGGCTGCCTCGACCATAGGCACATCGTGCTGTTGTAGAGTTTCTCTGATGTTATCCTTCCATCTTGTTCTTGGTCTACCTCGTGCTCTACGTCCTTCTTCTCTTTCCATGTATGCTTTGTATGGTATGGTGTCACAAAGCATTCTCTCTAAGTGGGCAAACCATTTCACTTGCTGTCTTTGTATGTAATTTAGAATTGGTTCTGTGCCGACTTTTTCTCTTATGATCTCATTCCTGATCTTATCTCTTATGGTCACTCCTACAGCCCTTCTCAGACATCTCATCTCCATGGTTACCAATTTTCTTTTATGGTTTGTTGTGAGTGACCATGTCTGGCACTGGTAGCACAGAGTTGGAATAAATATGCTTTGAATAAGATGTCTCTTTGTGCTGATTGGGATTGTCTTACGCCTCAACTGGCTGTAAACTCTAGTGGTAAGTTCTGGCTGTTAATCCACTTCTGGAGTTTAATCTTGTTCCAGGAGAGTTTTGCATACACAAACATTTTTATTTGTTTGCGGTCTGCTGATTCCTTGCCTTTTAGGCAGATGCACTCCAAGTTTGAAGGAAAATCACAGAATTAGTCGCCTTTTATGAAATACTTGTGGTTAGTCTACCCCCCCCCCCCCCAAAAAAAAAAAAACAAGGCCCTCGAACCCACACAGGAATAGTTAACAATGTAGACATTGTTGGGGGACAGTTTAGATATGCACAGATATCAGTATAAAAGGCAAGAAGAGACAAATATCACCATAAAAGGTCAGAAGAGACAAATATCACCATAAAAGGTCAGAAAAGACAAATATCACCATAAAAGGAAAGAAGAGACAAATATCACTAAGAAAGGTCAGAAGAGAGAAATATCACTAAAAAAAGGTGAGAAGAGACAAATATCACTAAAAAAAGGTGAGAAGAGACAAATATCACTATAAAAGGTGAGAAGAAACAAATATCACTATAAAAGGCGAGAAGAGACAAATATCACTATAAAAGGCGGAAAGAGGCAAATATCACTACTAAAGGTGAGAAGAGACAAATATCACTATAAAAGGTGAGAAGAGGCAAAAATCACTATAAAAGGTGAGAAGCGACAAATATCACTTTAAAAGGTGAGAAGAGACAAATATCACTATAAAAGGCGAGAAAAAACAAATATCACTATAAAAGGTGAGAAGAGACAAATATCACTATAAAAGGTGAGCAGAGACAAATATCACTATAAAAGGTGAGAAGAGAAAAATATCACTAAAAAAGGCGAGAAGAGACAAATATCACTATAAAAGGTGAGAAGAGACAAATATCACTTTAAAGGTGAGAAGAGACAAATATCACTATAAAAGGCGAGAAGATACAAATATCACTATAAAAGGCGAGAAGATACAAATATCACTATAAAAGGTGAGAAGAGACAAATATCACTATAAAAGGCGAGAAAAGACAAATATCACTAAAAAAGGTGAGAAGAGACAAATATCACTATAAAAGGCGAGAAGAGACAAATATTACTATAAAAGGTGAGAAAAGACAAATATTACTATAAAAGGTGAGAAAAGACAAATATCACTATAAAAGGCGAGAAGAGACAAATATCACTTTCAAGGTGAGAAGAGACAAATATCACTATAAAAGGCGAGAAGAGACAAATATCACTATAAAAGGCGAGAAGAGACAAATATCACTATAAAAGGCGAGAAAAGACAAATATCACTAAAAAAGGTGAGAAGAGACAAATATTACAATAAAAGGTGAGAAGAGACAAATATCACTATAAAAGGCGAGAAGAGACAAATATCACTATAAAAGGCGAGAAGAGACAAATATCACTTTCAAGGTGAGAAGAGACAAATATCACTAAAAAAAGGTGAGAAGAGACAAATATCACTAAAAAAAGGTGAGAAGAGACAAATATCACTATAAAAGGTGAGAAGAAACAAATATCACTAAAAAAGGTGAGAAGAGACAAATATCACTAAAAAAGGTGAGAAGAGACAAATATCACTATAAAAGGTGAGAAGAGACAAATATCACTATAAAAGGTGAGAAGAGACAAATATCACTATAAAAGGCGAGAAGAGACAAATATCACTATAAAAGGCGGAAATAGGCAAATATCACTATAAAAGGTGAGAAGAGACAAATATCACTATAAAAGGTGAGAAGAGACAAATATCACTATAAAAGGCGAGAAGAGACAAATATCACTATAAAAGGCGAGAAGATACAAATATCACTATAAAAGGTGAGAAGAGACAAATATCACTATAAAAGGCGAGAAAAGACAAATATCACTAAAAAAGGTGAGAAGAGACAAATATCACTATAAAAGGCGAGAAGAGACAAATATTACTATAAAAGGTGAGAAAAGACAAATATTACTATAAAAGGTGAGAAGAGACAAATATCACTATAAAAGGCGAGAAGAGACAAATATAACTTTCAAGGTGAGAAGAGACAAATATCACTATAAAAGGCGAGAAGATACAAATATCACTATAAAAGGCGAGAAGATACAAATATCACTATAAAAGGTGAGAAGAGACAAATATCACTATAAAAGGCGAGAAAAGACAAATATCACTAAAAAAGTGAGAAGAGACAAATATCACTATAAAAGGTGAGAAAAGACAAATATCACTTTAAAGGTGAGAAGAGACAAATATCACTATAAAAGGCGAGAAGATACAAATATCACTATAAAAGGCGAGAAGATACAAATATCACTATAAAAGGTGAGAAGAGACAAATATCACTATAAAAGGCGAGAAAAGACAAATATCACTAAAAAAGGTGAGAAGAGACAAATATCACTATAAAAGGCGAGAAGAGACAAATATTACTATAAAAGGTGAGAAAAGACAAATATTACTATAAAAGGTGAGAAGAGACAAATATCACTATAAAAGGCGAGAAGAGACAAATATAACTTTCAAGGTGAGAAGAGACAAATATCACTATAAAAGGCGAGAAGAGACAAATATCACTATAAAAGGCGAGAAGAGACAAATATCACTATAAAAGGCGAGAAAAGACAAATATCACTAAAAAAGGTGAGAAGAGACAAATATCACTATAAAAGGTGAGAAAAGACAAATATTACTATAAAAGGTGAGAAGAGACAAATATCACTATAAAAGGCGAGAAGAGACAAATATCACTTTCAAGGTGAGAAGAGATAAATATCACTATAAAAGGTGAGAAGAGACAAATATCACTATAAAAGGTATGCAGAGCTTTCACTATGAAAATATATAAAAGTAAAAAAAAAAAAATCTAGTAATAATCATAGAATATTCAATACTAATGTAAAATCAGTACTGCTTAATGGAGCAAAAAAAAAAAAAACTGAGAATGACTAAATGAGTTACTATGAATTACATACATTTATTAACTGATAGCTGCAAAGAATTCAGAGAATATCACATAATCATTTACGCAGAGCTTTGAGAGACAGAATTAAACAGTTGCAGTGAATCAAGAGGTGAGTTAGGCCATACATGCAGAACAACAGTATCATTAAAATTTCCTTGCACTGGAACATACAGTCCCAGCTAAATAAAGAGAGTCTAAAATTACACAGGCAGAAAAGACTTAGCGACAGAGTTGAATTATATGGGAAGGAGGTGGAGTGAGCTGCAGGAGATAGCAAAGAACAAGATGACTTGACTCCCTGTGTGAGTTCCGGAGCCCCATTTTGAGAGAATAAGAATAGAGCCACTGGGCTCCTAACAAGCATGTCATAGGAGGCAACTAAACAGGGGTTTATTCCTTCAAAATGTGATTACTTCAAAGTCGGAGTGCCTCTGTCTGAGAAGCGAGGAACCAAAAAACTGCATGCAAATACACAAGGTCTGTAAAATGGATGTGCAAACAAAACTCAAGTCCTGAAACAAGACTAAAGTCCAGAAGTGGATGAACAATAGGGGCTTTCCATTGGAGGTTACATCCTGTAAACACCAAGAGAAAAAAAGACACTGCTAAATTAGGTGACTCCACATCTCGAGTAAATATCATTTTTGCAACAGAAACCTTAGTCTTAGTCAAGACTATTGTGACTGACATACAATATAAATTGTTACCTATAAAAACTTAAAAATAAATTACCTTTATATTCAGTTTTGCAGACAATTTCATCAGTAAATGTTCATAGCCAAATCGAGCAGGACAAGACATGTACACAACATTCAAAGTGGAACGCTGCAACCAGTCAGCTATCAAAGTCGCAGCAGCATCAATGCACTCACTACGACTGGGAATATGAAATGCTTCTGGTATGCAAAATGTAGTGTCCACGTAAATGCTCTTTATTTGCTTTAACCTGATTATGAGAGAGAGAAAAATAACTCTTACACGCTCTAAATGAATAAGAAAATTATTTCAATATGTGAAGAACTATGTCTGAAAAAAAAAACATAAGAGAAGCAAGACTGAAAGAAAATGTGTATATGAAAAAAGTATTCACCTTAATATTTCTTATGGGACAAATCAAGCATCGAAAGTGTCCTCAGACAGGCTGCTGTAAGGGACCTATATGCAGATTCATGAATTGTTCCAAACCTCCAGAGAATGTCAGCCGTTGGGGTCTTTATGGAGCAATGATGCACAATACAAGACTCTCAATGTCGCTTTGCCTCTCTTGCTCAAGTCTGCTTCACCTTTAAGTGGTAAAAACTGGCCTCTCCAAGAATCCAATGGAAGGTTGGGGCTTTCAGCTCAAAGCGAGAAACTGGATAGGACAACAGATGAATAAAGGCAGACTCGGGTTCCATCTGCAAGCTACTGAGTTGAGTGCATGGTGGAACAGTCTGAGCTGTGGATTCCATGGGAAATGCTTACTGTCCATGCTCTCAGAGATGCATGTTGTAAACTGCAAATTCAGAAAATGGTGAGTGGCTGGTTGCTACAGAATTGGCATTGTGGTAGAAGTTGTTCATGTCATGCCGGACTGCACGCATGTGACACCAACTTAACCACAATTCCTGATGATGACTCATGAGCAAGATCCAGAAACTAAGAAGCAACAAGCCTGCAGAAAGATTCATCATACACATGAGGAAAAAAAAACAACCAAGGTAGGTAAGTGAGCAGCAGCAATGCCAAAGTCATTCAGACTGCACGCATGTGACATCAACTTAACCACAATCCCTGGTGATGATTCATGAGCAAGATCCAGAAACTAAGGTGCAGCAGGCTTGCAGAAAGATGCATCATACACACGAGGAAAGCAAAAAAAGGTAGGTAAGTGAGCAGCAATGCCAAAGCCATTCAGACCTCTTTCTCTGACTACCTTTGCTGGGCCATCACAAGCACACACAAGGTCATAATTACCAAGATTGTAACATGAAGGTCTTCTGTCACTTGTGTGATGCTGTGCAAATTTGTCTCAAATCCACTGATGACATTCCACCATGCCATCACTTCAGGCTGCCAAGTATTGTCTCTCTTGGTCTGCTTCTTCAACCACTGATCTTTCCGCCTGTCGTGATATTCTCCAATACCTCTCTTCTCATCAAGTGACTGAAGAACACCAACTGCCTCTTTCTTACAGGTTCTATATATTTTTTTAAATTTCATTAGCCATTTCAAGGCAGTTGTAATTAGTCTGTCCATGTTATCTACAGCATGCAGCTCAGAAACCACATCTACATCACCTCCAAGTTCTGCTTAATTTACTGATTCACATTCCAAGCTCCTCATGTGGGCTCCAGGCCGCCCACTGACAGGGGGGGGGGGGGGGGGGGGGGGGGGGGGTAGATCCACTGCCTCCCTAACAAGCACATTGTAAGAGTCAACTATTTAGGAGTTTCTTTCAAAGTCGGAGTTCATCTACCTGAGAGGCAAGGAACCAACAGTCTGCATGCAACTAAGCTGGATCTGTAAAATGGATGTGCATGCAAAACTCAAGTTCTGAAACAGGACTAAAGTCCAGAAGTGGACAAACAACCAGAACTTTCCACCAGGGTTTACAGTTAGTGAACACAAAGGAAGAAGAGGTAAAAAAGAAGAAAAAGACATTCTGAAATTCACAGCCATTCAGCAGCACAGGTTCACCAAACATTTATGTACTCTGTTTCTTATGTTTAATGAGAGAGACTGATTGCATAAAATATTTTTCATCTTCTGAAGTGCCACATTTACCAGCATATCCTGCTCTTAACCTCAGCTGCACATTGCTATTAACTGTTATAACTGTCCCCACATATTTGAACTTGTTGACCTGCTTAAGCATTTTATCTTCTATTGTCATTTCACATTTTGTATGGTGTCTGTTTCTTCCTTCTTATAATCGCTGTTTCTGTCTTCTTGATATTTAAGGCAAGTTTTTATTCTCAGCATATGATACATATGTTTCCTGCTAAACATAGAATAACATCGGCTGTAAGGCTCCATATTCTCCTGACATGGCTTTCTGCAGCTGTTGGCCAAGATGAAAATGCCACCAAAAAGAACCTAATTTTTCTCAGGAAGACGACATGTGGAAATTGATGGCTCAGCCATCTTCCAGTCCTAGAGAGGTCTTTGTGAAATGCTTCCAACAATGGTGAGACCACTGGCAGAAGTGTGTGCAGAACCAAGCAGACTCTCAAAAGGATTAGGGTCTAAGCCTCCAGGTAAGTCATTGTATACAGGCTAAATACTTTTTAAACATGCTATTAAAAAAAAATTACAATCATCTGACATTTAATCAACTTTAGAAAAGCATAAATTACATGTCAAATAATATAATCCTAAGTTGAAAAAGGGTACAAAAAAAATAGGAAAGAGGGATAGCAGAAAGGGAGATGTGAGAGATTAATGAAACTAATTCAAAATTAACCATATACCATCTGAAGTAAGAAATTACTGGGGAAAACAAAGAATCTCTATTATATGCAGATACAACAGAGATAGACATTGATAGATATGGTATCAAAATCAGACCCAGTAATAGTCTTGTTTAAAAAAGAAAATGAAATTCATACACTTAGAAAAAATACTTGACAAATTTCAAGTGATGGTATAGTCATTTTCCCAACTAATCATTCTTCAAATGTGCAATGTTTTTTTGCATTCGAAGTAAACCCACTTGCACTTTTTAACAGAGAAACATTATTAATATTTAAGAAGAATATGTGTTTTTAAAAAAAGGCATTTCTTCTTCTTCTTCTTCTTTTTCACCGGCTGTGAATTCCGGCGGTAAGTCGCGGTTGTTCGTCCAAAATGGACTTTTGGCTTTTACCTTGACCTGAGTTTTGCGTGTACATCCGTTTTACTGGCTTATTTGTTCGCAGTTCTCGTTCCCCGCCTCTCCGGCAGATGTACTCCGACTTCGGGGGGGAAAAAAAAAAAAAGGCATTTAAAAAATAGGATTGCTTTCATTGCAGAGTTTCACCCTGTGGGGTTCATCTTTCTCTATGGAGCGGCTGGCTATTTGTAAAAAGAATCACACAAAGAATAAACTTTTTAGTTGTTCAAACAACAAACCTTGGCTGAACGATGCAATCTGCAAATTAACCCATAATTTTATTGCACAGAGAAACTGGCTTGATGACTTTGCCATATATAAATATACATGCATTCACATTTATGTTTTCAGTATCAGAACAATGTACACTTATTGCTATGCTAAACATTTATTAAGCATACCTATTTTCTTCCTTGAATGCAGCTACTCCTGCAACATGGTTGATCTCCCAACGAAAATCACCTGTATACAAACATCGCCCTTCATGGCCCTCAAAAAGAAACCTAAGAATACAGAATATTTCATTTCACACAAAACATTTTATTTCGGTAGAAACTATTCTCTTTTTTTTTAATGAAACTGATTTACTGTAGTCAGTCTCAGACAAACATTATTATTATACAGCACTAGAAAATTGTTTTTCCCCCCAAAAGATTACATCAGAAACATCACAGACTTGACAGACAATAAGTTTTAGAAAGTTCTTGTTTGCATACCAACTAAGTCAACATTATAGGGTGTTTTCCTTTACAATATAAGATAAAAGCTCTAAAAGTTCTTGCTCATAACTTTAATGATTATATAAAAGAGCATTTTAAATCAGCACTACTTTAAAGATTAAAATTTTTTTTTTTTAAATACAGGTTGGTGTACACATATGCATCTGCACATTCAAAAAAGACATAATATGTACAAGCTTGTGTTGAGGGACACAACATAAAGATTTCAATTACATTAGTGAATGTTTAAGGAAAGAAAAATGCTGTCAAACCATAAAATATATCATAAAATGCCATAGCACATGAATAATTAGCTGCAGCCAAAACAGTGCAAAACAACTCACATGACGGATCCAGGACAATGTCCTGCAGAAATCAGTATCACATTCACATAGTATTCTGTCTGTAAATATAATAAACAAATTAAGTTACATAGAAATTTGATTTATCAGTAATAATTTCACTCAAGTTTAAAACAAGATCTTATTATAAATATTTAGGTAAAGATCACATCAGTAAAAAAAAATAATAAAGTGGCTTGGACATTCTGTGAGAATGCTGTCAGAAAATTAGAAAATACAACCCAAGAAATCAATCAAACATTCTATATTGTTTTCACGGTCATTACATTTTAAAAGGTGAACTCATTCAGCACCAAATCAGGTTGTATTTACCAATGCCAGGTTAGGTGATAGGCCATCTGTTTAGGCAGAACATGAGAACAACATGCTAAGATTAACTGTAAACATGATGATGTAGGCGGAGAAACATTTCACAAAAGGATTTGAAACACCTGCAGCTGACAGTGTGAAAATACCCATTCACTCATTTTGCATCACTAACTTAACTTCGGTTAGAAGTTCAACAAGCAGAATGTATTTTGTTTGCATCTCCATGTGAGTTGCATAGTCAAATTGTAGGGGAAATGAGAATAGACCCACTACCTCCCCAGCAAGTATGTCATAGAAGTCGACTAAGTGGGAGCAAGTTCAAAGTTGGAGTGCATCTGGCTGAGAGGCAAGGAACCAACAGTCTGTATACAAAAATGCCAGATCTGTAAAAGGGATGTGCATGCAACACTCAGGTTCTGGAGGTGGATCTTCTTCTTCTTCTTTTTTAGGTTTGCTTGAAATAGATTATCTTTATCTGCAATGCTGTCTCTAGTAAGAACTTCACTGTCTTTTGTAATTCACTCAACGACCCATAAAGTTTGACTTGCACCGATGTTTCTCTTGGAGGTGGATGAAAATCAGGAAGTTTCTGCTGGAGTTTACAGCTGGTGAATACGCAGAAGATTTTGCCCGCTTAACACAATGAACAAAGAGCCTGTAGTTATCTGTTGCTGGCATTCATTTCTGCATCAGCAGAATGAAATAAAAGTAAGTTTTTATGGCTACACTTATCTCAGCAATGGAATGATATTTAAATATTGATGTCTAGTGTATTTAAATAAATATTGGCATTTATATGCATATCTTTCAGGTGTGTGTTTTACAGTCAAATGAGTGTATTTATTTGTTTTACAGTATTTCCCTACTTTTAATAGTCGAGGTACAGGGAAATATGCCAGGCAGTCTATTTGTTTTCTCTAAAGCTAAAATAGTAACTGCACATATCACAACAGATTTACCTCAGACGTGCTGGTCCCTGGAATACTGACTGGATGAGGCACTCCAACTTTCAGAACCCTCTGGATAAATGCACAAATATTTAAATTACAGTTGATCTGTCAGGATTTTAACAATAAGCAAATATCTGGTCATTTCTGGTTGAAAAATGAAAGATTTTAAATGAAACAGGTACCAAAAAAGTGCTGTTCTCCAACTCTCCCCCCCCCCCTTCCCACTCCTCTTCTGTCTGTCTAACATGCACACACGCACAGAGAGAGAGAGAGAGAGAGAGAGAGAGAGAGAGAGAGAGAGAGAGAGAGAGAGAGAGAGAGAGAGAGAGAGAGAGAGAGAGAGAGAGAGAGAGAGAGATTGTGTGTAAATACTACTGTATGTAAAGGAATTTAAAATTAGTAACATGTTTGTACTATGAGTATCTTTGATCATTCCGGAGAAAATATTCACATTTTCAAACATGCCAAAAGTCAATAAAATATAGCCCTACTGACTTCACAGTACCAGATTGCATATAAGACTTTTTACCACAGAACATCTGAGAAGATGAGAGGAAGTCCAAGAAAGTGATGGATGAATGGTGTAACAAATCCATCACTCGAGCCACCCGAGAAGCACAAGACAAAAACAGAAAACCAAGACACTGGGCTACAACCTGGTATCAGTGAGACGACAAAAAAAGAAAAAAAGAAGACTTCACAGTAATTTTATCTTGCTTTCTTTATGTATAAAAAAAAAAGGTGAAGTCTGGAGATGTAAACCAGCGTCATTGCACACGGTTATAAACCATAAGTGCTCTGCCACCAGTATGTTCCTTTATGTTCCTAACTCAAAGTGAAGACAATGATCACGTATTGTGGCAGCACCAGGTTTATTACTACAAGTTTTCTTTAAGCTCTGCTACAAGTATTTAATCTGCAGAATTATATACTTAGAATGACATACATTACATTTATTACTGTACTACCATACTATTATTATTTTGAAAAAAGTTCTAACCGACTAGGGGTTGCGCTGTTAACCTAGAGATTTGTGACCTGTTGTCTCAGCCACATTTAAACAAGACCACTCTCTGCATAATCTGTGAAATATATACCACCAAGGTGAGCTTTCAGTGGACCAGACCGGTGAAAAGTATCCAAGGCGAAGTTTGGGCAGGTGAAAGTGAATATGGTCAGGCATTGCTGTGGTGGGACAATATTTCTTTTTCAATACACTTGAGTAGTCTTTTGAAAACTGTGTCCCTAAATGTTAATACAGTTATACTGTAAGATGCAGAATTTACATTCTGTTGTTTTCTGAAAGCATGCCAACAGTATACCTTGGGATTCACTGTACACATAAACTTCCCTACTAATAGTGAAATCTGTAATATCTTGGCTAAAGGTAGAGAAACATGTTTCCACTGCTTTCATTTAGGTTTGTATTGGTGCATCCATGATTTACCTCTAGTAACAGTCCTGTTTGATATGTGTCTTTTTCATTTGCTGATTTTAAAAAACTGAACTGGTTAAATCCATTTAATTCATTTGTGTTCAGTCAGTTGCCCATAAGCACTGTCATATTTTTACCTGTTCTATGCATGTACCTGTGATACCCAGCTGATTGCTGTTACCTAAGCTGATCATGAAGTTGGATGATGCTGCCATCAAATGACAGAAACTATCAACTTTAATTATCAGCATCACCATATACATTGAATTCCTCCTGCCCTCCCCATAAAATTCACACTAAATTTTTTCATAACACTTATAACAATGAGGTTACTTTAAAAAAAAAAAGAACATCGCTGCAGGTAAACAAATAATAGAGATCTGTAAACAAGACTATAGTAGGGCAGCAAATTTAAAAAAAAAAAACCTGTTTAATCAGAATGAATTACTCACTATATATTTTTGCAGATAACGGTACTCTTCCTCTGCAAGAAGTAGCAAACGGGTTATTTCTGAACAATATAAGAAAATCCCATTCCTGTGAAATAAATTGTATGCATGTGTATATAAATATACAGAGTAACAAACAATGAGTGCCTGGAAAAAGAAGAGGAAAGTAGAACATTAGTTATATGTAACTACTGTAAAACCTCATTAACATTAACTTACTCAAGAACACTTGGTTAGGATGAACAAATGTTGGTCCCAGCAGGGATGGTTTACTTTTTGTCCCCAGTTAGCACAAATATTTATTTTGAACAGACAATTTTTGGAAGGGGCAGGTATAATGATGTCACTTTATTGCCGGTCCCAAGCCTGGATAAAAAAGGAGGGGGCGCTTGTGAATGAGACCAACTACCTCACCACAAGATTTTTTCAAGGATGCAATTCTGGCCAACAGAACAACCAAGTGGTGTGCGGTGCAAGGAGTGCATTATTGACAGTTACCGATGAAAAGCGCTTTGTGGAGGTTAGTAACTCGACTTGCACATTGCTTGGTTCTAAAACAAGTAAACAAAATTAGTTTCTGGAACATCAGAACCATGGCGCAATCAACAAAATCAGTCCAGGTAGTAGAAGAAATTAAACGATACCATCTAGATGTATTGGTATTCAGTGAAGTGAAATGACCTGGAACAGATAAGAGGATGGTCAGTGGTTTAACCTTTATTTCAGTTCCAACACATGTCAGCAAAAGTCAGAGAACCACCAAAAATATGGAACAAAAGTTAAATGCGTCTGAAAATTACTGTCTGAGAAAGACGATGCAACGCCTTGTCAAGGACACAGACGTAACTTTAGTCCGTCCGCGGCAATTGGGCACCTGAGGAAAGGGCAGATAAGTCTATAAGTAAAGTAAAGCAAAGGACCCTTTTCACACCAATGGCATATCAGGTATATGATGCTAGACTCATATTTTAGTAGACCAAACCGCACTTATTGGATAATGTGATCAACATCATGTTCACCACCTTTACTTCCCAGGACTTTACCTGGTACCTATTTTAGACTGGGTCAAGGGAGCCAATATCATTTCTGAAAATAATCCGGCTCAGTGGAGATTTGAACCCAAAACCCTCCGACCAGCAGGCGAGCAACTGGCCGTTATGCCACCCCAGCTCCCAGAAAGGTCTGCATGTGTATTAAAAGCTCTCATCTTAAAAAAAAAAAAGTCTACATGTGTAATAAAACTCATTATATAAACATAGCATGTTTTTTATGTATGTACTACAACATATTATCTAAAATACAAGAAGTCTCTAAGTATATTACAACTCATTACCTGAAAAAAAAAATGTGCATGTCTATATGTGTACAAACACTTTTAATCCACCCCCCCCCCCCCCCAACCAAAAAAATGACATAACATAACAGATATTAAATTACTCCTACCTTGTGTGCAGACTTTCTGCAAAAGATGAACTGTTTAATCCAGCCATATGATCTGTAAAAAAAAAAATGAAGTAAAAGTGCTACACTCCAGAGAAAGGTTGGTGTGGTGCTAACATGCTTTTTCATAATTAACAGTTCCCCGTGTGGGTTCCGGGGCCCTACTATGGGAAAAACAAGAATAGACCCACTGCCTACCCAAAAGCATGTCGTAAGAGTCGACTAATTGGGAGCTTCCTTTGAAGTCGGAGTGCATCTGCCTGAGAGGCAAGGAACCAACAGCCTGCATACAGATCTGTCAAACTGATGCACACGCAACACTCAGGTTCTGGAACAGGACTGCAGTCCAGAAGTGACCGAACAACCAGAACTTTCCACCGGAGTTTACAGCCAGTGAACGCGAAGAAGAAAAGAAGAAGATAATTAACAGTACAACAGCAGTTATAACTGCCCAGGTATAATGTACATGTTTGGCCAAACACAGTAAGCTATAGAGCTGAGACATCCGAAAGAAAACCTGCCTTAATATAATAAAGTATCAATATTTTTATGTGGACTTTATGATAGAGACTGCCCCTTCCGCCTGGGACTTTACAGAAACAGCAGACACTGCTCCCAAAACCAGCGTCCCACTCCATGGTCCACAGGGACTGAGGGTTGCCTGCAATGTACATGTGTAGTTCCCCATGTGGGTTCCGTGGCCCCATTGTGGGGAAAACAAGAACAGATCGACTAGCTGGGAACTTCCTTCGAAGTTGGAGTGCATCTGCCTGAGGGGCAAGGAAAAACCAACTGCACATGAATAAGCCAGTAAAACGGATGTACGTGCAAAACTCAGGCCCTGGGACAAAGCCAAAATCCAAATGGATGAACAGCCAGGACTTTCCACCGGAGCTTACAGCCGGTGAACAAAGCAGCAGAAGCAGCAGCAACATGTGTTAGTTCTCACAAACAGCAAAGACTGATAAAACAAAATGACCTGTTGCCTGATAATATTAATTTTATATATATATATATATATATATATATATATATATACACACACACAAAGTCCTACAATTAAATAAGAGACTATTCCATAAAAATAATCAACAGTTAAAGATATAACCTGTATATTATTCAAATTAAGCACCTTGTGCATTGATACGATGAGTAGCACGATCTAACAAACACTGGAACGACCTCTAGAGTTCTTCTGTTGCTATGGCCTCTAAAATCGATGTTACAGCCCTTTGGATGTATATATCAATATTGTCAAAGAAGCGTCCTTTCAATGGTAACTTTAATTTTGGGAATAGAAGAAAATCGCAGGGAGACAAATCTGGTTAATAGCATGGATGGTTGAGAACACACACTTGTTTTGGGGCCTAAAATTCCTGTTTTGATGATGTCTTGTGGGGTACTCAACCCGCTAACGTTTTGGGTCATCAGACAACAAATGCGGTACAAACCTGCAAGCAAGTTTTTTTTTTGCCAGAATCATGCACTAACAATTTACGAAGGGTTCTCTCTATTAACACTGGATTCATCTGGCATCATCCTGACAGTAAAACAACAATCTTCTTGTATCAATCCTGTGTGACTTTTGCAATGAGTTCATCATTACAAACAGAAATTGAGCGTCCAGGTCTAGTTGCATAAGTAATCATTTCTACATCCCTTTTGAATCGTGAATACCACCTGAAAATCTATGCAGCAGATAAACAATTATCCCCATAAACTTGTCATATCAATTCAATGTCTCAATGGCGCTTTTTCTGAGTTTTAAATAGAATTAAATGTTAGCTTTTTGTTCCATGCTGATTTCGTAACAATGCACATCTAACAAGGTCAATAAAATGGCGGCTTTTTTGTCATCTGCTTATCAGGCGGCAAAGCAAAGTTGCCAGATCATAGATGAAGGTTCCTCTTTGGATTATATGCTTTGCTTCACAGATGGCACTTTTGTCTTGGCCGTAAAAAATCAGTCTCATTACTTAATTGTCTGACCTTGTATATATATATATATATATATATATATATATATATATATATATATATATATATATATATATATATATATATATATATATATATATATATATATATATATTTTTAAAACCAGCTGTTTCAGTATTCAACTGCAATGATAGCATAATATTTTGTGAAAATATTTCATTTTAAAAAATGACAGCTTTGTGAAAATATTCTGATATACAGGATAAAAAATATAGATGGCGGATTTGTGGAAGTTGGTTTACAATAGACAGTGCCCCTTCTAACCCTGTAGTTGGAACTCCAAAATATATGCATGGTCTACTTGACTAAGTTAAATAATTTAATTTACAATGTTTTACTGAAACAAATTCTAGCAGAGAGATCATTCTAAGAACTAATGTGACTAAATGAACAACATAAATTTTATACTATTACCTTTGTGACAATGAGACAAGAAGAATGCTGTACACCGAAGATTCTTTCCATCAAATCTGTCAATAGCTATGCGAGTATATTCTTTCATTTGCCCATTGAAGCAGCTCATTATGCCAACTGCACTGCTTGTATTAATACCAATTACTATTTAGTATTTGAGTAAATTTTAAACCAAATCCGTGGAAATGGCTAGCATAGTCTCTGGTATAAAAGTAATAAAAACAGATTATCGTAAAGAATATACTCAGATTTTCAATTCTATTCTAAATGTTAACATAAAATATGAAATTATTATCAGTAAAAATTAAAAGCCAACCTTCTAAGCTTCCAGGCCTAGTATTAGTATATTACTAATATACTTAGTTAATGTTAGTTAAGTCAAGAATTGACATCATAGCACTCGGGACATTACCATGCGTGCTCCTCCTTATCTTCAGCAGCCAGCGCAGACTTCCAATACAGATGGTGCCGGTCATAATCTGGTCCATCTTGCCTTTCCTTTGAGTGTAGCAGATCTGCCAGGCCCTCTGGTTACACTCAGGTGCCTCATTCTCTCCAGGATTCCGTTATTTGTTCCCAAAGGGCCTTGACAACATCTGCCCTGCCATGCATCAGTTCACCACCCAATGGTGCAGATACTTAGTATATAAGTAATACTATAAAAACCCCAAAATTTCTTTGACAGCCAAAAATAGCAACTGAAGTTTTTTTAAAGTGTAGAGGGCTCAAAGACAACTTATCACAAATATCAGAAAAAGATAAGTCATCCTATTGGGTCATCTTTCGATAAGAAAGACACTGGAATTTGTTGTGACTACTGGAAAAATCTGTGGACAAAAAGACAGAGGAAGACAACATAAGAAGAGTCTTGAGAGCCTTTAACTCTTTGAGTCCCAAGGAACGCATCATACGTTCATAGGTTCCCATCTAGAGGCCCAATGAACGCAAGATGCGCCGATTTTACATCTCTTTTGACTATCCCTTGGGCCTCTGATGCTAAACCCCCTGGGACTCAAAGAGTTAATCATGGCAAGGAGAGGTGTCAGCACATGAATGATCCAGGCTGTTGAAGATCGCAAGTTGTGGAGAGGTATGATCACCCATGCCAGTCAGCAAGGCATTTGATGATGATGATCAGTATTAGGTGTATTATGCTAGCCCCATATATTTATAGTGAACAACAAATCCTGTGTGTTGAATGCATGTGAGACATGGACAGGAAGAAGATCAGCCGAGAAACATTTACTCGCAGAAAAGATGCAGTTTTCAAGAAGAATGCAAAGAATATTGTAAAATGATAGAAAAACGAATAAGACAGTCCTCCTTGAGCAGCACAGTCTGGAGAGAATCATGCAGTGAGGAGTGACAAGGAGATCTGGCCAACAGTCAACGGAACATACAATCATACTGTGTCTGGAACCTTTGCAATGGGAACTCCGGGTTCTTTATTAATATCCTACCCCAGATGATGTCACAAGACAGTTCAATATTTTAGGGGGTGGTAAGGCTAGGTTTCCTGGCTTTCTGATGCTTTTAACGACCCCAAAACATCTAGAACTGGCCCTAACTACAACCCACCTATGTGCCACAAGAGAGTGCAGCCTAGGTCCCACGATTGCATGCAGCCTATCTACCACCCCCTGAAATATTAGACTCTCCCGTTACCTGTGGATTTCCCGTTTGGGGTAGGATATTAATACAGCACCAAACTCTGCACCTGCAGCTGAAGACGGGATGGAACACCATGGGAATGTCCCAAGTTCTTAACTCAACTGATATTTCATACACATTTTTACAATTTCTATCAATCTGAAAACTTAAGTCAATTTTTAAAATCTGTTGGGGATTGGGCCTAAGACCATATGCTGTATTGCACGCTATTGCATTAATAATAAAAAGAAGTAGTAATAAAGCTTTAATTACTTTTATTGAAACATAAACTATAATAGCAACTTTTACCTTTACCTGTTAAATTAATAAATTGGTGTGTGTGTGTATTATAGATTTATGTGGGTCACTTTATTCTATTAGAACTTCATCTGATTTTTTTTAAACTCATATTTTTGGGCTCTCCTGCGAACTTCGTTCCCATATTATGGCGGCCAAACAATAACCTTACAGGGCCTCGGTCGTGTGTAAAATGCGGAGTGCCTGCCGAGGAACAAATCGTAGCCAAACTAGGATTTCTTATTCTATCAACTCAAGTTATCAAAGATTCACTTTTTATTTTATAAATTGTTATAAATATTAATTTAGATCTAGTGTGTGATTTGTAACTTTGATAACAGTATAACACTCTTATTCTTCTCTTCTTTTAGCGATCACCGGTTGTGAACTCTAGCGAAAAGTTCAATACTGTAGATAAAAAATATTTAAATATTGTTATTTATTGCATTGCTGATAACCAGCGATTTTGAGAACGTAAAATGTACACTTCCGGGTCATGTCATTATCATCATCGCGTGCCGTTATAGCTTTACAACTTGGAGTGGCTTATTACATATAAGGTTAGTTGCGTATCCTTTACAGAACGTTGCAGCGCCAACCCCAGCAGCCCCTAGCTGTTGTATGGTTTCTCTAGGCAAATTTACGACCAGTAGTTTTCCATTGCTTTCGGCTTCTTTATACCACTGTCGACACCAACGCAAGGCGTATGGCACACAGCTGTCATCAAACCCGGCACCCCGGCATTACGGAGCGTTTTATTTCATATAATAATTAATTAAAGAAGACTGTGATATTGACCATTCCCTAGTTGCTGCAAGAGTTCGGATGAAACAAAAGAGAATTTTCACTTAAAAAAAAAAAAATATATATATATATATATATATATATATATATATATATATATATATATATATATATAATATATATATATATATATATATATATATATATATATATATATAGGAGTTCTTTCCCTTGGCCGTATTGCAAACAGTGAGCGGAAAAGTCGAATCAAATGACATACTTACCTATCATCATACGGTTGCATGTAGGGTTGCGTAGGGTTTGGGGTAGGGGTAGGGTTAGATGTGACAATTTTGACGTAGGAGTTCCAAATACTGGCCGACAATCTGATGCTTGTGGGAGTGGCGCCACTGGAACTCTGCCAAATATGACGGCAATAGCGCGCGGCTGGTGCCCAATCGGTGGCGAATTTTCCGTGTCTGTAGCATCCACAGTCTGTCAATGTCCGCGATTATAGGGAACTCCTGCGTTAAAATTGTCACATCTAACGCTAAACCTAACCCTACCCCTAACCCTACCCCTCACCCTAACCCCTAGCCCTACCCCTACACTTAACCCTAATCCTAACCCTACCCCTAACCACCCAAATTTATCGGTCATTAGAGCATACAGATCGGCAAAAAAAACCCCCCCCCCCCCTCCCCCCCCCCCCCCCTAAACCCCCCCCCCCCCCCCCCCCCCCCCCCCCCCCCCCCCCCCACCCCCCCCCCCCCCCCCCCCCCCCCACAGATTTCCCCACAGCGTCAAAACAAAAAACCCAGATCTGGGGGACACAACCAAGCATTGGCAGCCCTGATGTCGACCTAACTGTCTTCTTTGATTCGTGACTTTTCCGCTGACTGTTTGCAATGCGGCCAAGGGAGAGAACTCCCACTAAGCCGAACTAAGTCGTCCAGCTACCGTCCGGTATTAAAAGGAGAGCCCCAGGATAACTCTACAGCAAGCGATGAGATGAAATTAGAGAGACTTTACAAAACAGCTGTATCAGTTTATGTGATTAAAGAAAATAGAAGTAAGGACTGGTTTGAAGCAAATATCCAGACACTCTAACCTTTAATTGACAGCAAAAAGGCAATACTCCTCAGAAACAAGGAACACTCTCATTTTTTTAAATTTTGTTACGTCCTTTTCAGGATGTAATTTTTTCTTATTTGAAGCCCCACTCTGGCTTTTGCCAGGGGCCGCAATATAGGCAGGCCATCAATATGGCCAATTGTCTGAACGCGATTTCTGGTACCTCTCCACGGTGATCCTCATCCGCATGGTGGCACTTTGTGTCATCGGGTGTTTGTCGCTTGTGTGATGTCCTAGGGGGGTAGAAAGTCAGTCAGTCAGTCAGACAGGAACACTCTCATTAAGTTAAGAGCAGCTATAAATCATTTGCAAAAGGTAGCTAGGCAGTGTGCTACTGGATCCAGCTATGTGAAAGCATTCAAAATGCTAGCAGTGGTGGTAACGTTAGAGGCATGTATCATCGGTCCTACTATTTAAAAAAGTGCACCACTAAAAGAATTTGAATGGGGAGATTATTAATGACAAGAAGAAGCAGCTAGATAGATGGGTGGAACATTATCTGGAGCTTTACTTAGTTGATACTAAACTAGCAGATGGTGCTCCTAATGCCATGGAGACGCTACCAACTCTTGACTATCTGGACACATTTCCAACAGTTGAATTTGGGATTGCTATTGATGAATTGGCTTCAGGGAAAGTCCAAGGCAGAGATGGAATTCCTATTGAAATCATCAGGAGTGGGAAAGACATTCTAGCCCCACACATCCATCAGCTAATAACACTCTGCTGGCAAGTCCAGTAGTAAAGGGGTGTTGAGGCTGAAATCAACATGGACTAACACTAATCCTAACCCCCTATAATATTGACTTTCCCGAGAACTTCCCCACGAAACCTCCGAGTCCCGAAATGGGATGAACTAAAAGAAAATAACCGATCATTCTCACGAAAAAAAAAAAAACCAGTCTGATAACTCCTCTCCCTATTTCACCGTCTTCTTCTGTTTCAGCCACTTTGTCGCCTTTCAATTTCCGTCATCTTTATCATCGTCATCATATTCTTCTTATTCTTATTTTTGCTCCTCCTTATCCTTTTTCTGCAGGTACCATTCTTCACCTTCTTATTCATCAGTATAATCACATCCTTTCTTTTGTCTTCTTCCGCTTCATTATTATCATCATCTTTAACAATAACAGCAACGTCAATATCAGAACCCTGTAACTATCTTTGTATCCTTCTGTATTTCTTCTCAGCTAAACTGACACAAAGCCTTTTTCTACCATTCTTCACCTTCTTATTCATCAGTATAATCACATCCTTTCTTTTGTCTTCTTCCGCTTCATTATT